TACTACATGCAAAAAGGCTTTTTCTTACCTTGATTCTTGAAAGGTATCATTCTCACTGCTTTGAAAAAAGTCAGTGCTGAGTGCTCTTTGTGTCATTCGTGTCTGTTATTCCAGAAAGAATGAGCTTGTTTATGATCTGCTCAGTCTTCACAGAAAGTTCTGGATTTCTTAGGTGTAAAATGAAGTACTGCTAACAGTGGCATTTAACCTCTGGGATACCCATATTAGTCAAAGAAAAGTGAAAGGCATAGTTTTGTCTGAAAACAGAAATCAACCTGGTTATGGGTGTAGCAACATACTAGATGCCATGCACTATAAAATAAGAATGAAGATCACACACAAGATTTTCCTTCATATGGAAGTAGCTGCCTAAATAGGAAAACTGCAACAGAAAGCAGGATTAAGCATTGTCATCCTGTTAACCAACAGACTGCAGCACCAAGAAACCTGATCCTGCTGTCTTGATGGCATTATTTTACACTGTACCAATCAACCACAGACCAGAGCAATCAAGAAGCCAGCAGTGTTTTTGCAAAAAGCTGGATAACACAGTTACATGTAAGAACCATCTCAAGTCACTGTAGTCAGTAATAAGGAATATAGGGTTGTCTTGTACCAAGACATTTCTTGGGGATGTTGGATACTTCTAATGCTGGATTTGGTATAAATATTCTAACCTGCAGTTTTCTGCCTCTTTTTAACTCAGTGTTCTTTTATCAGTGAAGAATGTCTCTGCTTGCAACACATCCATCTATAACCGAAAAAAACCCCTACCAAACCAAACAGCTCAGAACTGGAGAAGAGTCAGCTTTTCCCCCACTAAGACTATTCAATTCTTCACCAGGTCTTCTTGACAGTTGATACAATAAGCAGAAGCATCTGTCCACCACAGCTGTACACAAGTACGGCATACGAGGTCCAATACACAGCTTATAAAGAAATGCTGTTTTCACCACAGTAAACACAGACAAGAGTTCCTCCAGATGAGCTTATCTTTCTTCCCCTGAGAGGAGCCTAGTAAAGCCAGCCAACAAAATTAGATACTTGGGTTGTATAAACACTCCCTTAGATTCAGTATCTTTTAGCTCGTGCTCAAAAAAAATCCATCTCTGACGTGATATGTTTAAGCAGATACCAATTAGCCTTTTGTGAGATTGTTTAAAGTTCTGTGTAGCCTACACCCGCTACGTTTTAGTGTGCAAAAATCAAACAGTTCATATCCATTTCTGTGTAAAAGCAACTTCAACACACCATAAAGCAAAGGAATAGCTTGTTGTCTCTTTTCCCCATCCTTGGTCTACATGTGTGTAACAGAACACCAAGTCTTAAAAATTCCCAAAAGACTGATGCCTCCAACCTAAACTAAAGAGAAAAATAATTTCACTCAAAGCAGACTTCAAGATGTAGCAGAGCTTGTATGATGTGGGAACAGAAACATATTCAAGTAGTCTGTTTTCCCAATCAAAACAAAAAGCTGTTATTGTGCTTTTGAATATGCACACTGACCTCCCAAGCTAAATCACATCTTTGTGAATGTTGCTTAATGATATAAACCAGCAAGTATTTGCCTCAGCTTCTTTAAATAAACAAAAATCAGTTCATCCTGATGTGCCACTGTGTTAAAAAGTAATAGCTAAAAGAATCAGTGCTTGTCATTCTTTTTATCAGAGTTGCAGGCTGTGAAGTAGTCGCTTATCCTGAATTTGCAGAAGGTATACATGTATGCACAACAGCCTAACTTAATCTGCAGATGGCCAGTGTTTTAATAGGTTAACGTATTATTATTATTATTATTATTAAATACCTTCCATGATAAAAGTATGACCATTTATAGCAGTGGGACAAGATATTTCACTTTTATATGACTGATCTATATCAGCTATTTCCAGATTCAGATCTAACACTTGGTCTCAGGCAGCAGAGCAGTTTCACTTACTTTAAAATGCTCAGTTAAAACCTCTTCCAAGTACCCTTTTTTCCTCAAAACTGTCAGGATTAGCTTTTGGTTTGCATCAAGTGAATCACTTTTCCCTTTGTTCCACTGTGGCAGCATATCTGCAGCTTTATTACTTTCTCAGATCCTGTATCAAAAGAAGTGTATGAAATACAGCTTTTCATTAGTCTCCTTTCTGAAGATCAAATTTCAGTTGCATAATAAACAATGACTCTACATGACATAATGGGGCCTTCATGCATGATACAGCTAAACTGAAACTAAAAACAGAGAGATACATCATTATCTGCCCTTGTCTGGACATAGAGGAAATTTGTCTCAGAAAATAAGGAAACACTATAAATAATCAAAAAAATCAATGGAAAAAAGTTTTCAAAAGACTTAAAGGCCAAACCAATGTATGTTTAACCCTTAAGATGATTTCTACTTAACATATGGGATTTTTACAATAATAACTCATCCTGTGCAGGAAGACTATGTGAGAAGAACATAACAGTCCATTTTGGACGGGACACCAATGAAATATTAACAATATCAAAATTCAGGTTTATGCAGCTTTGGAAGCAGAAAAATACAACTGCTTTCAGCCTGGAAGGTTTATTAAAAGATGTCTAGCTTCAAAATCAAAGCTATTTTAACTCAATTTATCTGTGTAACCACAGAAAAGTTATAGATGTAGTACTTAAGTTTCAGAACATCTACGCATTTGATGCTTATACCACCGTCAAATTTTTAGGTACACAGAAACTCCTTAATAAGAAACTACAGTAACATAACCCACAAGTCTATATAAATTGACAAATGTTGAAGAACACATAAACAACATATAGCATGCTAATGATTTTTAAGATCACCTAGATGGTTAAAATTCTATCTACTCTCAGGTCTACCGTCACTTTAGTCCCATCATTCACTTGTTTCCTACTGGTTTTATGTGAAAAGTATGTAAGCAGCCCAATGTTAATCTTTTCTTCATTTATAATAGCTGCCTAGCTACTCTCACTTCAGCCATTTAGCAATCCTGTTATGAAACAGCTGCTATTAGTGAAAAAAGTCCAAACTGGCAGCAGTCACAGACTACTGGGAATACAGAGCACTTCAAGGAGATGTTTCTGTAACTCACAGTCAATACCCTCTGATTCATTTCACTTAGTTTTTAAAAGACCCTACCTTAAGGCCTCCAATCAGGATTATGCTTCTAAAGCCTCCGTATCAGAAAATCTGGCTTTTCTCTAGATTTTCCCATGGAGAACTTCCTGTTCCTCTAGACCAACCCATCCTCTTAAAACGTTTTTTTCCAGTCTTTTATTGCTGCTGAATCTGATTCAAAAGGGGCCCATCTGCTCCAGCTACATCATCAGGAGAGTTCTGCACTTTCAGACAGCTGCTGAGGTTTCTGTCCCCATGCAGAAGCTGGGATTGCTCCACCCACACTCTCTGCACAGAAATGATGTAAAAGAATTGAAGGATCCAAAAAACCTTTGCATGATCATTTCTACGCTGTCACTATAATGTAAACTCTCCTTTTCTCACATTTTGTAGGATCTTAATTTGTTCCCTTAATGAAATGCCCCATAAAACTTGAAAGCGCAATTTTTCCAATGCAAAATAAAAAAAAATCCTATCAAATACACTGATCTTACTGTAAATTCCATGAAGCAGTTCAAAAATCCTGGAGGGGTGATTGTTCTTATTAAGTTCTGTCAACTGCTGGAGCAGTTCCTTCAGGACTTCTGACATCTTCCTAGAATTTAAGTGACTTAACCTCCATTAAATTCTGTAAAAACTGAAAAGCAACTACCAGCAAGTATGCTTTAGAAGATGACATAACACAAACCAAACTGACAACGGTCTGCATGCCATTGCTAACCTGTAACATGCTCTGAAAATGGATTCTGACAACTTAGATGCACCAGCTTGACCTACATGCAGGTAGACTATATATCCCGTAATACCTATGACCACTTGACTCCTGCTACTCATTCAAGACTATTTTCAGAGCACAGAAACTTACAAAACTGTATTTGCATCTCTGCTTTGCCAGAGAGTCTTGACCAGGTAACGTTTACAAAAAACCCACTTAGTTTTGAACTATAGAAACTTGCAGGAAGCTTTACTTGGTTATGAATTTCTTTCTAAGTATCTCCTTTATAAGACTCCTTAAGTAAAACGAGATCAAGTTGAATTGAATTCCTGGATTGTTTTAGTTAAGATACAACTATAAAATTAGGTTTAAATGGCACAACTTTCTACCTGCATATGAACACTAGCCATGGGAATCAAACGGACTTGTAACAGTTCCTAAATTCAATCTCTAGGCAGAAGCTTTGCAAGGTGTTTACAGTGAAAGTTACTGTACTATGGAATGTTTTTTCTACCCATTCACAGTTGATTTGGAGGCAAGTTGTGCCTCATCTCTTCATTCAGCATTAAGGAAAAGTCTTTTCTTTGCACACAGTACGTCTTTACAGTATCTGTGAAGGGCAAAAGTGAAGAATTTATTTTTATTGATAACATATAAATATGAAATTTTCACAGTCACAGAAATGAATTACAGCTGAATAGTATCATCAGTTTCCTTATCAAACGTAATGCATGCATTTTAGCTCATTTGACCTTGGAAAATCTAAAAAACTAATCATTTAGTAACCAAGAAACAAAATAAATTATTAACATGTTTTAATAGAACAAAAATAAAGCTTGAGTGGACCTTGAACTTGTATTTTACCTATAATAATTCACACAAACTAATACAAATGAAATCAATGAAAAACTGTTGGAATCAAGTTTGGGCAATTTGTTCAGTTGAGGATTAGGCTCATCAAATGTGATGGCATTGATGTGAAAAAAGTGTTCTATAACATCACAAATTAAACAACAATAATAAAGTCTTCATCAAGTTCAGGGTGTAAAAATAATTTATTAGCTTTTGGTCATAAAAAAATCAGCTACTATTATCTCGATTGTTTTTTAAACAGCAGCAAATAGTTGAAAAGGTGACAATTGAAAAGTGTTCAGTAAAAAAATAAGGCAAGCAGAGTGCAAATGCTGTAGCACTACAGAAGCAAGGGTAGCAGAAAAAATAAACGAGACTTAGTAAAACATGACAATCACCAAGTTACTTCTATGCCATCTCATCACTTTAGCCAAGGAAGAACCATTAAAGCAGTATGCAAGTAAACTTGTATTTCACAACTATCAAGAGTTAATTAAGATTTAAAGCCATCCCTATGGGGTGGGGTGTGAAGTATGTCATACTGATGGTAATTTTATATTGTTTTAAGTTTGTAAAACATCATGGAATACTGAAACCAAAAGCTTGCAAGAGAACAAGCCTTGATTCTACTGGTTTTGATCAATGATCCGCTGTAAGCAGAGTTTCATGTAGGAATTTTTATTGCGTATTTCTATCACTGCGTCTCTGACAAGCTCAATGAACATTTGAGGCCAGAGCTTCTGCAACGACTCATTTTTCATATTGATGTCAGCTGCTTCTTTCACTAAGTTCTCAACGTATGTCTGGCAAAATGCTTTTCTTTCCTTGATTTCCTGCATGAGAGAACCATTACATGTTGCATAAGACAAAGGAGAAAAAGGTTAAACAAGAGCAAACCCCAAAAACAAGCACAAAGATTTAATGAACTAAAGAACATTGCGATTAGCAGGCAAAGACACCACTGCACGCTTTTTCCTGTTGGTTTTAAGTTGCACAGACCAGAGGGTTTAAGCCAAGTTTTTCTGAGTGTGGCTGCAGAGTATTACTGTACTCATAATATTCTTATTCACATTAATTTACCTGAAATCCACTGTTAAGTAGTCACATAAATACCTTTCAACAGCATTACAATTTTTCTTGTTTTCTGGAATAGCAGTCAAAATTTACAGAAATTAAGGACCAGATTACTTTCCTTCCTTCTCTCCATTCCCTTCCCAGATTTTCATGATTATAGGACAATAGTTGGAAAGTATATGTTTATCTACCTGCCCTAACAAGAATTAAATACACTGTCACAGAAAAATATGTCACTATGCATCCTTTCCACAGGTTCTCTGATGGATTCTGACAAGTCCATGGTTTCTAATGTACATTAGATACTGAAGTAACCTGAACCTTTTTGCAACTACCAACTCTGTATCTTATATCAAACTATATTAATCCCTGTTTCTGCAGAGTTTCTATAAAATGCCATAATAAGCTTTGAACAGGAAGTTATATTGGTGCTAAATATCTAACCAGTTTGATTTATGGCACTGTTAAAAATACTAGGTCATGTTTCAGACCATCAAAACAGAAGTTTTCTTAAATGAGTGATAAAGCAGACAAAATACTTTCCAGCTGTTTCATCTCAAAACCCAAAATTATTAATCAATGACTCAGACTGTCATCTCTAGCAATAAACTTATTCAATCACATTTATTATGTTAGTTTACTGCTGATGGGGAACTGGAATCAGCCTTCTGCCTATTTTACTATTCTCTTGTGACATCCTGTAATATCTACTGCCACATAGATAACACTGTAACAATGGACAAGGTGTGAACGTGCACTAGGAAGAGAAAACAATGCATATATTTAATGGACTGTAGAAATATCAAGTTTATTTTATTACAGTGCTTGTTCCATGGTGAAAGACAAGAGAATGCCTCGCTGTCTTATTCTATGCCAAAGTTTAAGAGCTACTATAACAGCTTTAGAAACTGTTTTCTTTATTTAATCTCTCCATACATGCAGCCATTGTCTCTTTTTTTACGCTATGGATCTGAGATAACAAAACCACAATGCAATAACTGAATTCATTGTTTACTGAACTTGATTTAATTTCTTGCACTACAAGATTTATACATTTCCACATAAACAAAAAGCAAATAAAGGGACAAATGTGGGAAGCAGCGTGCATATAGCTAGAACTCATGATGACTGCTCAAAGGAGACTGTGGTTGAAAGAAGTATGTTCTCCCTGAGAATAATTTCCCTCTGCCCATGCAAGCATGTTAGCAGATCACAAACTAAGACAAGCGTGACTGATGCACTTATCTGAAACAAGCCAGCTGGCAATTTTATTATTAATTACACCTAATACGTTTCCTATATATTTCTTTTCCTGTAGCACATATAAAACCTAGGAAGTGTTGTCTGAAGGTGTTCTTCACCAGTTCATTTTGGGATATATTTTTTAACATTCTAATTCCATTAGAAAATCCTAAAACGTGCAATATACATTTTTCTTTGCAAAAAAACCTGCTTGTTTTTATTTTACTAATACAGGTACATTTCATTACAAATATAAGACTTGTAGGTGAGAAGGTATTTCTGAGACTATGGCAGTGTGCAGGAACCACCTCACTGAAGACAGAAACTGACCATTATCCAGTATTCTGGCAAAGATCATACAAAATGTTTGATCACACATTTAAATATGTTAAGTAGTGATATTTCAAAACCACCATTCCCAATAGCACAACTGAAACTTGATCGCAAGATAAATTCTGTGAGTAGTAGTTTAAGATTATATGATACAGGTTGAAAATATTTTGCAATGATATACTTACCTCAAGCTTTTCCATATGAAAATCCTTTGTTGTGTAATTCAACGTTGCTCGAGCTGTGCTTTCCCCTCCATTTCTTCTGTTGTCACTACTCTCCTCACTCCCAATTCCAGATTTCTTTCCCTTTCCCTCCAGCAGATAATGCAACTGCTTCTTCCTGTGAAAAGATAATAGAGATTTACAGTTCTGATTACTAAAAGCTTTTTTAAAAATGAAGATGTTTCTAATGATTGTGAGATTTTTTTAATTTTCTCCCTTTGACCGTGTACTTTTTGAGCTTTCAAGTTTACTGCATCCTCAAGTTACTCAAAATATGCACGACTCTAGATATTCCTCCGTTAATTTGCTTGTATATAATTGACTTTTGACATATATCACATAGCATCTCCTAAATAGGAAACCTTACAGCTTAAACTTAATAGAAGTATGTATCTATAGAAGACCAAAAATAAGGGGTTTTTAAGCACCTTTTTTCTTACAGCCCAACTCTTAAATCTGTTAACTGTGATACCACCCCGTATAAAATACCCACTAAAAATAGCTAAGTCTTCACCATCAAAGTCCATAAATCTTCACCAACATCAATACAACTGCAGAATTAAACAAGCAGTTCGTTTGTATGCATGTGCCTTTTAATCTTACTCAGCAGATTTCATAAAACTTCTGTGAAAACCTCTGGCTACATGACTCAGGAGATGCTAACATTTCTGCAATAAGCAGAGAACCTATCTTGTCACTTGCAAAATATTCATCTTTTCATCCAGAAAGAATTTAACACAATAGCATGCAAAAGAATTAATCAATATGTTCTGGACAAATTACAGTTTCACTCATTGTATTTTACCTAGATTCTCCAAATAATGAAAGCATGCGATAATGTGGCAGCTCAGAGGATGCTACGTATGCCAGAATGCCAAAGAGCCTTTCTGCCATTACAACGTCATTTTCAGTAACCTGGGAGGGAAGGGGGAGAAGGGAAGAAAAAAAAAAAAAAAGTGAAGTTTCCAAATTGGCACATTCATATTTCATTACCCATGTACATTAAGAATTAACTGAAATTTGTTATCCAGAACACTGCATACAGATCTGTTCTGGGCGTATCTTCAAAACATATATCTGCTTTTACTGGCACTTTAAATGTACTTTAAAAGAAACCAAATGAGGTACTGGTGCTCGTTTTATTTCCTGTAATTCTGGAAACTTTAATGTATACACATGCTAGTTTTCATGTGCTTTATGACAGTTTTCACAAAATGAGGAATTTTCTAACTATTTCTTACACTGAGTAGCTGAAGGCCAGACATACTGATCCTGCTCCATACTGCGTGCACTTACAGAAGATGTACTGGAAAATTCCTGATCAAGTTATGCTGGAGAAACAAAAAGATTCTGGGTACCTACATGTGAAAAGGTAAATTACAGTCTCTCTTATTCTGGTAGTATCTTAGAGAAGGCGAGAGAGAAAGAAAGAGAGAGAGACAGAGAGGGCTTGGGGGTGGGGAAGAATATATTCTCTGCATTATCTCTGCACTCCCAAAATAAGTGTTTCTTCCTTATACTTCTCTAAATATCACCCATACTGTAGTGTCAACATTAAGTTAGAGATGTCTCTTTAAACTGATTTTCAATGGTTGATTTTACACATTTTTGTTTTATATAAAGAAGGTGAAAGGGGGTTAGTTTATGGTGGTTGTTACTGGGTTTTGTTTGTCTTGGCTCATAACCTCTGGAGACCATGGCCTGTGTTTCTCCTGCCCTGATGGCCAGACTATGAACTGACTTCAGCTGCCAAAAGTTTGTTGGCACAATTTCTAGACTCCTGGCTTTCCAGTGAGTGCAGAAGAAATCTTTATGATCATCTCAATCTGACCTGGATAACACAGGACAATGAAACTCACTCACTGAGTTCTTAACTTCCGGATCAAATTTAATTTCCGTTCATCTTATATTTTTGGAAAGCAACCCATGATTAAATAAACTTCAATACTCACAATATTTACTAAGAACTTCCAGACAATTTTGGTGTTCTGTATTATTCAAACTGGTGAGTAAAAAGGATTTTTGACCCAAATATATGTAATCTGATTATATTCTTGTTTAATGTTTCTATACTGTATGATCTACTCCTGCCTAAGGTATACTGCAACAGCATAATGCAGGGAGAAATTCACCAGAGAAATCATAGGTCAGGAAATTAGAAATGTAAAGTCAATTCCATTTTTACAGTGTTTAGATTTGCTCGTTTTTATTTAAAATTACAGAAATCTAACTTACTAGCCTAAGAGTAGATGACCTTGCTGAACAGTCTGTTAACAGGAGCAAGAAAACAAAGAGTGCAGAAAGCAGCTAGGGAAACAAAGACTAGTGCATGCAGAAAGGTCTACTGGAGAAGTGATTTTAATTTATTTATTTATGTTAAGAGAAGCATAAAGACCAGGTCAACAGAGACAGCAATGCTGAATGCACTCTTTAGTTCACAGTAACTTATGTTCTCTATGTTACCCCAGTACATTGTTTGCTCCATTAATCACAAAAAGACTGTAACGGTAATATCAAATAAATGTAAGTCTATTATGCCTGACTCTTGCCAAGTACGGAACACGCCCCAAGTCAGTAAACACGATGCATCTGTTATATTGGATGACACACCACTTTGTGTAAAGCATTCTGTAGAGTTCAGTAACTTCAAATCTTGACAACTCTTTACAGATTACTATCACTAGAAAAAGCTTGAAATAGTGTAGCTCAATGAAGACAATTTTCTTCTTCATAGATAGTAAATGTAACAGTTTGAAAGGTGAACATGATCATTAGCAGGAGACTAACACTCAGTTTCTAGCCTGGAATATAACTGAAATGGAAGGGGGAAGTTGGGGAGAAAAGAAAAGCCTCATTATGCGATTACTATTATTTTTATAAGTTTAAAATGCTAGAATTATGCAATTTAGTTAATTCAGTTAGTGTGTATTGCTTTTACTCCCCAGCAATATGCACCTCAAAGCTGGCAGCACAATAGTCTTCACAAACACTGCATATAGATGATAATGAGAACAGCAGAGTATGCACATTGCCATTTCAATTATCTGAAACTACTATTCAGGGCTGATCTAAGGTCTGCAAGCACACTTCAGGGGTTTGTGTTCTTTACATTGAGACAGGATATACTATTATTGATTTTAAAAGAAAAGGTAATACACATCTGCAAAGCTGGATACCATGACTTCTGTTGTAGACTAATGAAAAACACTGATCAGAGTTCATCTCTTTCTTCCTCTTGGCTGTGACACTTTTCAAATAATTAATGACACTGGGAAAAAAAATTTCTGTGTGCACATCTTCATACAGTGTGGTCTGGCTGAAAATGTTTGCTGAGGATAAAAATGTTCTTCAGGCATATGTATAAGATTTGATATACATCCTAGGTAAAAAGCATGCCATGCTACATGTAAATCCATTAACTGAATTCATCCCCAAGCACTATTACTAAATTCAAAGTTTCCCTTCAAAGTCTGAATACGCTGACCTTGAGACTGTATCACAAAGTCTACTTCAATAGTTGTGTTGTTTTTTTTTTTTCTCTTTCTTTCCCGATTAAGACCAAGCAGGTAAGATTTAGTTTCTATGTTCTTCTAATCTGAATCTCTAGTGTTGATTTTGAAAATATGACATAGTAAAAAAGAAATTAACCTTAAATCCACATTCAACCTTGTTCTACTGTGCTGTAGTAGTGAGTCATATTTGTCTTCATCCCTCACCTTGTCTCATTCTTTCTCTGATAGTTAATTCAGGTAAGATCTTCAACCCACCCCTGCTCTTCTATGCAACCAATGCATATTTTTCAGAACTAAAAGTAAACTACAGCATCCATGCTATGGCTGTATCAGATAACAAGTAACATACCTAATCCAAAACATATGATGATGACCAAATTAAAATATCAGATCTGAAGACTAAAGCAATGTATTATTCTTACTGTAATTAACTTCTAGACCACCACTTAAGCTTATTTAGCATTTAAAATTGAATGCACATTCAGACTTTGTATTGCATCCTGACTATTATCACTCCCTTTATGATCAAAGCCCAACTATAACATAACCATTTTATATGCTTGAATAAATTTACTTTCAACTGATTAATGGGCAATAAAGTAAAAAGAATAGCAATATTAGTGTCCTGCCTTTCATTTTTTTTAAAATATAAAACACATAGCCAACAACAACAACATCCATTTGACAGACATTTTCCTGTGATAGGCTTAAAGAAGACAATATTTTAGCTGTATTTTGTAACACCGGAAAATACAAACAATCTTATACTGTAAACTACTAAGTAGTCCCTCAAATGCCAATTTTTGCACTAGTGTCCAGTGTCAGCACTGAGACTGTTTTGAACAGTCACTATAAAATACAGTAACATCATGCAGGGTTGGTTTTGGTTTTTTTAATTACTATTTATTCATTAAGAAACACATACAGAAATAGTAAGTCTTCCATTCAGGTAAATGCCAATCATTCAGGTATAGATTTGGACTGTCACTTGCGATTGCAAACAACTGAGACAATACAACATTTTGATGGCAACTAAGAATCTTACCAACTTGGCTAACTGTAACACAATATATTTGGACTTAACAAATGCATAGCACAAGAAATAATACGGTCAAGTCTACTTAATCCCCTGCCCACCAAATACTGAACAGACACTGTCAGAGTTCTGCTCACTTTATCAGCAATTCACCTGCTTTTTTAAAAAACAATACTAATTTATAAGACCAACAGTAAGAAGGAAGCAACACTGTCCTACCTTCACTCCATTTATCTTCTGTAGATTAAAATGGTTCAGTCTAAACAGAACATAGTATTTCCACAAAGTAAAGTTTACAACTGGATTTCCCTGAGGATCAACTGTCAACTGTTCAATGCGATGCATCTGAGCTAATGCATTGAATTGCTGCAGGGCCAGAAGATTTGTCTCCTTAAACTTCAGGTGCTTAAAAATAAAATAAAAAAAAAAAAAATTAAAAAGGTAAACCACAACAACTTAAATAAGGAACCATAAAGAGTGAACACAAGGATCCCTATTCTGTGCCACTCAAACAATTTTCAAACTCAAATAAATAGTCTTTAGGTCTGATGAAGCAACTGAGCTCACTTCATTTGAGGTCTTTGTGGCAAAACCAATTGGTGTATTACATGTATTTAGAAATGTCAACGTTACATGCCCCTAAGCAATTTATAAAGCCTTTAGTAACAGCACTGATGTTTTCAATGTTACAAAAAGCAGTGATACTACTTGTGCAATGTTTATTTTAATTCTGCAAGTAAATCAACTGCAACATCCACTCATAAAAGTAAGTGTAATATGTGTTTTTAAATATTCTGCTTCTTCGGCCATAACACGCTGGCATTAAGTCATACTCTGCTGTTTTCCTTGAACCATGCCCTGCATCAGTGGTCTACAGCATGGTATAGTTGGCTACACAGTAGCATTACTGAGGGAGGGGAAGGAGAAAGAACCTATTCCGAAGATAAAAATTTAGTTGAGATTCTGCTATCCCCCACAAGTTCCACCCCCCCCCCCCCCAATGAATAAATTTGTGGGGAATTGAAAACAAAATTATCTTACCTCAACTAAGCCATTAACTTCAGTTATACTCAAAACCTTAAGAAGAAGCAGGGAGCGCTCAAGAGGCATATGAGTAATAAGTTGCTTTATGTATGTTACCACTGTTTTACTATTTGCTTCAGAATGACTAATCTAAATGTCCAATGAAAAATAAAAAAAAAATAGTACTACTAAAGGGATGTCTCATTTATGCTGTTTTGCTTCACCAAGAACTGAGGAATTCCAAAGCCATAAAATTCAAAGGAGCTACTAGCTAGCTATCTCCTTTGAATCATACCTCTCTCTCTCTTTTTATCCTATCAGTTATCTGATCTTCAAACTCACAACAAAAAGGAAGGTCTCCTGATAGCAGGGATCCATAGCAAAAGCGCAGAACAACAACACTGTTTCAGTTTTGCTACTTAAAAATAATCAGCTAGGTCAAAGGAATGAAGAGAAATAATAACCGGTCTGAAAAGAAAAGATCATCCTGTGTGAGAAGAGATTTTTAAGAAGTATGAAGTTAAAGTTGTTGTTATAGGATAACACCACGCAAATACGTAATTCACAAGCTTATCTATTTATTTGAAAGCACTCAAGGTTGACTACGCCAAATTAAGGTTCTACTAGAGAATAGGTATTCCATAGCTGTTCACACAGCTGAAATCTTACCACAAAATTAGGAAATTTTATCTTCAGTTTAGTTAACACTTGAACAATTTCATCAAATTCTATGAACATAAAGGAGACTGTGACAATAATTCCAGCTGTCTGAACACTCCAGTTTCGATCCAGGCACTCCAGCGCACCAGCACCATACAAGCAAAGAGTGTCTCCTTCCACTTCCACTAAATGAGACTCAAGAACAGACAAGCCTTGTACTGCACTGCTCAATATTGTATCAAGAGACCTGTAGGAAAATAAAAATGCAGTGATGTAAATGAGATTATTTTGAGATAGTAACATGACTCTACTGAATGATAGTCCTTTCATTTACCAAAACCCAGCTGCATTCATTCATCCAGTTCAAAAACATTAAGGGATGGAAAATCCTCTTCCCATCAAGTAACACTGCAAATGTTCTTACTCCTTAGGCAGAAAGGGTCTGGGTGTATAATTTGAGGATATTAAATAAATAAACTAAGAAGTCACTCATATTTAGTAATTTGCTTAAAGTTTTTAACTCAGAATGCTAACTTAACGTATTTTGTGTTGCTTTAGATATCTAAAAACAACTTCAAACAATGTATGTATTCAAGCAAAGTCACCTTCACATTCTGTCTGCTACACAAAACGCAGAAGTTATGACATGATTAATCGCTTTAGGAACAAACGGTTGTCAAAACCAATCCAGATAATGCTATTCACAGTACTGAACAGAAACTTTTATTCTTGAACAAGAGCACCACTCCTTCCTCAAACCCGTATGTCCATTATCTGATCAGGGCATCAGGATTCTTTATTCTGCCTAGAGATGAGAATAATCTTACGGCTTATTATCTTTGTTTAATCCTTAATTGATAGGGATAAGTAAGCATGCTTACTGGGTAAGTAAGCATTTCTTTAAAATAGTGTGAGCTTTCCAATTCACAAAAGCAATTTTACAATTAAGCAACAAGTTCAGGGATTCTCAACTCTCATCTCCTTGTGTCTTACTTCATGATAAAAAATAGCAGCATTATCTACAGCTTCTTAATTATAACATTCATTGCCACATCTCCAATCTGTTTAATCTGCTTAAACAAATATAAACTGGGGGATAAAGATCACTGTCACACTTTCATTTCTCTAATCAGTCATGAAGGAGAAAAATTCCAAACCTAAGTCTCCAATTAAAAAAACCTAAATGCACTGTAGTTTGCATAAAAAAATTATAACATACGCAAATAAAGCACGCAGCTTCTTCAGTTAACATCTCAGGAGGGTGAAATCTGGTATTTCATTAAAGTACATTTGTAGACTATGTTGTAGAAATCAAACTAATAAGCTTTCACAAGAACATGGATACAGATTTTATGCATTATATTTTATTATCGTAGACTGGACAAAAGAATCCTAACATCCATGGTTAGGAAACTACAAGGAATAAGCCAATTATAGTCACTGTATCCAGCATAAGCAGAGATAGCATTACACCAAGATCCTTCCTACAACTCCAAGGAAAAAATCTTAATATGTTAATTAAAAGCATGATTTCTCAAGCAAAGAGGATCTGTTCATTAAAAGAACAATGCTCATGCTACCATAGTTACCATGACTTCGTCACAGGGGATGATTACTAACACTGCATTAAACTGTGAAGAAACCAAGGAGGCAATAAAGCAGTGGCTGAACTTATCTTTGGGGGGAAGCTTTGGAAGCACAAGAACAGAAAAGACTATACCAATTTAAAAATACTAAGAAAATATAAAAAGTTTCAAAAGATGTAGCACTCAACTGCAGACAAAAACGAGGCCTAACCACCGAAACTCAGATGGGTTCTGTTTGTGAGAGGCAGAAACTTCCTGCCTGTACCTGATATCTCCAGTGTTGATCAGGTACAGCAGGAAGCTGCACTTGCTACTGAATTCATGCAGACTATTTTTTCAGGCTTTTGCCCAAACTAGCCAAGGCTAAAAGTGTGCTGGTTTGATTTTAGCCTACTGGGTAAAAGGCACACAGTGTTCATTAGGTCCTGCATTTGGTTTTTAACTCATACAGAATGCCAGATGGCCATCTTTTAGATGCAAATAAGCAAGCCACAAAGTGTATCACAAAAAAACAAATAAAAAAATATATATAACTACACAATATCAAATATAACTAACAATGCAAAAATTACCTTAGGAAAAATTATACTGGGAATAAAACTAAGTCAAGGAACTGCTATTGCTAAAACAGCCCGGGTATGAAGGTGGTCCAGTGAGACATGCTGTTGTTCAAACTAAGAACACAAATTCAGAGTGAGTTTATGAAGCCTCTTGCTGCACAAAGAGGTTACAAACACCTGTAATGCTCGTACATACTCATTTTGCTCATTTCAACTGAAGACAACAATCTAAGCTGTCAAGGAAATTAAGAGCCTTAAAAAGGCTAAAGAATTCAATTTAACGTTTCTTGCAAACATGAAGTCCTTCTTTATTTAACAAATTCACATAATTCGCTTGCGCTTCTTTAATCGATGAGTTGTATTACTTAATATACGTTTCTTATTACTAATGGCGAACAGGTTTAATCACAGAGTAAAACGTCTTTTCAGGATTGATTTGGATATATTACTTTCGATAATGAAATACAGCGACATCTCAGAGATGAGAAGCAATAACCTGGAATGTAAGATATGAACAAGAAGTATTACCCAATAAAATACCTGTTTTCTTCAGGAAATACATATGCAGCACTGCCATTAATCTGACAGGGCTCATCATCTTTATCTTGGTTTAAAGAAGCCACAAGAGCTATTCGATTCTGCTGTATCTCCCACTGACGAGCAATATTACAAATCGTTAACCGTTTCTTTTCCTGAAACAAGATATAAAGTTAAGATATATGAGTTATATCAGGGCAGTATCACCACATTTGTTTGTTCTGAAAGAAATATGCCACTTAATAAAAACATTTTAAACATTCTAAATTGAAGAAATGAGACTACTAATAGGTGGTTATGCATTAAAATGAAGGCAGTGTTCTAGTGCTATTTTGCATAACTGCCAGCAAATGATTTCACAAAATTTGCAGAACAGAAACAAGAAAAGCAACCTGATAAATCCACAACTTTTGAAAGAATGAAGTTAAACTATTTAGTTTGGATTACCATGCAAGTCTCACTTTGACAGTCTGGAGCTGGTTGTGATACTGCTCCCACAAAACAGGGCAGACTGCTTGTACTTTCCTCCATGCTGCTAGAGTGACCCCAGCACTTAGTTAAGATAGTTATGCAACTGCTGTAAGTCTTGGCATGAATTGCAACATACTTTGTGTGGGGGGAAAAAAGTTATCTTCTGAAAAAATGGAAAAAGTCAATTCTCTAAAAACAGAAAATGAAATCACCTTCGTGACAGACACAAGGACTGCACCAGATCTAGGTTCAAATATTTTGTAATATTTTTAAAGTAGTTTTTGTATTCTAGACAGGTCTTGTCAATGAATCAGTATTTCAAAAGTTTATTAAGTACTTGTTCTTGTATAGTCATGCAAACCGTGTCAATCGCCTGCGAATCTATAAACAGGTTATTATTCTATTGCATCATATAGATATATGTGATTTAATATATGCAACTTAGATTACTTTAAAAGGTGAAGGAAAAAGGTACTTCACAAGAGCTCATGGACTGGCAGCTGAACTCTCATCAAATGAAAACTACACAACATAAATAATATCAAAAGGTAAATTCATTGTTAGTTTCACTTCATTTGGTTTTTCTGAAGATCTAATTCTGTATTAACGAATGTTCTACTTCGACGCTATGAAAGTTTGGATTGAAACTGCAAGTACTTCTTAGCTTCAAGCTGCAATGATCTCAAATTGGGTCTAAAAGGATCTCATACAAGCTAAATCCCTATTAACAATCATTTCCTTAGAGCATAAGCTATCCACCTTTATCAATTTCTTACCAGAGTTAAAAGCATTTCTGTTTTAAGACAGACTCTATGGCTGTAAAGGAAAAAAAAAGAAAAAGAAAGAAATCAAAACAAACAAGAAAGTTTCATTATAGCCCCTTGTTTCAAACAGGAAAACCCAACAATTTATTTGATAGGCCTATGGAGAAAGGCAGGGGACCAGTGCAAACGTAATTTTTGAATTTTTAATTAACACTTCTGATACACTGTTTGACCTATACTCACTGTGCTCCTAGGTTTAATCTATAAAAGTAACACATGACTGTTACCATAACTTTTTTACATAATTCCTTTCACAGTGGGTGAGCTGTGGACATCACTGCAATGCCATTCACTAAGAACGTTCCTCACAGTACTCAGTGCTGAAGATGTGAAGCGTAAACCACTACAAATGAGTATTTCATTGAGAACCAGAAAACAGCATATCAACAAAAAAAGCAAGAATTTAATCATCTGTGACTGAGATTTATGGAGCCTATGTATTTCCTCAAGAATAAAGAACAATTGCTTATCAATGTTTCACAGTAAAACATTAATAGCTACATGCAAATCCCTCATGCTGCAGCTATTTAAGAGTAAACACCATGATGTGTTTCAGTGACTGATAATGCAGAGATAGATCTCATAGACTTCAAACTTTGATAAAAATTACGTCCATAGTTGTTTATAACTGACACTGAAAGTTCACAGAAACTACTTTCCTAATTCTCTTCTTCTGCAAGTTTTTACCATTTTAAAAAGCTCAAAACTCTTATTTCATATTTAATCTACCCAAAGAGCTATGATTTTATCTGGTTAGAGAATACTAAGTGACCAACACTTACAGACTTCAGTGATGAGTGGGCTCCATGTCACAGAAAGCAAGGGAAGTTAAAACAGTCTGCATTTTATTCCAATCACATTTAGAAAATTCTGTTTGCTCTGAAGGGTGAGAGTCTCCTCATAACCTCAGTTACCATACAGCTCTACTTCTTTGTTAGCCCTCAGTTATGGGCTGCTAGATCCCCACAGGGCTTTGACAATATCCAACAATTCATTTTACAAAAAGCAAATTTTAGAAGTATGAAGATTCTGCTAGCAATAACTATTTCTTGTTGCAATGAACATTAAGTTCAGCTTCCATTGGAAAAGAATTACATTCTCTGTACATTTTGCAGTATAATCTCAAACTTTACCAGGAGAGTGGGTTTTAAGAAATAAAAAAATACATAACAGTAATAGTTTGATATAAAAAGTAATAAAAAGTCTGGGAAAAAAAGAACTGAAGAAACTCTGCTATCGGGGAGACAAGTATAAGCAAGGGAAAAAGACGGCACTGCTGAAATTAACTTTTTTCAGTGAATATAGGAAAATGGCAATTACTTGCTATTGAATGAGTGCTTACAATTTCATTTACACTGCATATAGTTTAAGAAAGTTTGGATGAAAGTGACAACAAAAATTGCAGAATATATATTTTCTTCAGGTTTAACAATGAAGAAAATCCTATTTGCAACTTTGTTTACTGAACATTGAGCAGATTTCTTTAACTCAAATGCGTCAAACAGGAAAAAAGAAACCAGAATCATAACACACAAGAACATATTTAGAGATAAAAGATACACAAAATCACTGAATCATGCAAAAGATAAATGATATTTGGCTCCTATGCTACTTAACTATTTGAAAATAAGAAAAATACCTCAATTAAATTACCTAGTATACAATTTAATGTTGAAAACTGAACAATGGCATTATACATATATTTTTCTTTTATGGGAAGTTTTGCTTCCACTAGCAAAATGCACTGAGAAATCGAGACCTCCAAGACAAACAATCCCTCTGCTACAAAGAAACATTACATCCATGGTTATGAACTACAAATAAACACCTACTTTTTTTCCAGTCCAGAGATGCAGTTAGCTTTTCAACAGCACAGAACAGCTCTGTGTGTGCAGATTATTTACTAACTTCCCATTTCTTTACATTACTCAAAACTGACACCAAAACTTTAAACCTGAAGAGACTTTAAATACATCAGTATCTCGCAGGGAAAAAACAAACAGACAAAAACAGAACAACTTTAAAAATTCCAACCAAAACAGAACCCCAAATTAAAAACAGAAAGAACCCACCCAAAAACAACAAACCATAACATTGCTTAATAAAAACCTCAAACAAACTGTATAGAAGCCTTTTTTATTATATTTGGGTTTGCTTTTTTCTAAACAGAAAATCAAAATATACAGAGATACAAATACACAGGAAATTAAAAAAAAATAATTTAGGCACTAAACACAGAACTCTCTTTTTTCCATTCATAAGTTTAGGTTCTTGGAGGTTTTTTATATGACTTTTAATATACTGTTAACATTCTGTTTGTGTCTTTTTATTTTTGAGAATTATATAACATTTGCTACATGTCTTACAGCCTCCTGTAAATACTTTCAGTCTAATTCCCTTCATGAATATGAGTTTATTTAAGAAATTTAGCTGTATGGATACATTAAGTGTTTTTGTTTGACTGCCAAATTGAAAGAACTTTTTCTATAACCATTACTAAATGACAAAAAAGTTTTGGAGACAAACAGCAATATTCACACAACAAATGGAATGCAGATACTCTTAGATCCCTGAACTTTGGTCTCCCATTAGCAACGTAGATCATTTAAACACCAGCTCCACGAGACTATTCTCAAGTGCACCTCAGTCTCTCGTTAGAGCTATTCCATCTCATGTATATAAGCACTAACCAGGCCATGTGGTCTGGTAGATAAGCATTATTCTGAAAAAGATAACAGCTGGAGTCTAGCTGGTGCTCTGATGACTGCTTAACTCTTCCTACAGAAGGAACAACTTCTGTAGGAAGAATGAAGGCAAAACTACTTCAGAACACCCTGCATGGCAGCAGTTAGAGAACTCACCTGAAATGGGGGAGACCAAGTTCAAGGAATTTGAAATCGCTGCAAAATCCTGTCCTTTACTCTGGATTTGTGAAAATTAAGTTTACCATCCTTTCACATATATCACACTCATGTATCCAACTAGGGTTATTTGCTAAAGTACAACTTGCATAGTTGACTGCAGGGAGTTTCAGTTGTGAAGTGCACACTTTGAGCAGTAAAAAGAAAGTTTAAGTGATAGAGGTGTACAGGGACATGATAAGAACTAGAGCAAAATATACTAAGATATAGACTATTATCATAAATTGATTTACAGTAGGCTTAGAATAGCCATGGAAAATACCTTCAGCAAGTTCTGTTTATGACTTTCACGCTTCCTTTCTTCCTCTTTCCTTGCTGCAACAGATGCCATACGTCTTTCTTCTTCCTGGGTGGCAAACAAGAAAAAGAAAATTCATAAAACAAAGAATTAACCAGGTTCTGAAAAAAATATAACAACTGATAAATCATTAATATATGTTTGTGTTGGTATGTGAAATGCAAATTTTAATACAATTTTAGGATTTTTAAAATGTTAATGTTTCTAAATATTATTAAACCCAACAAAATTAGTAATTTATCAAGACATACAGAAGAAATAGAAATCTACACAGATACACATACTGAAGAGAAAGCTATTTAAAATTAGTATTTGTAAAGGTCTTTGAAAACATATAAAGCACATGGTGAGTATGACTGAAAAAGAACATTTCAAAATAAAACAGTGCACTATAATTTTGTATCTTTGTAGTGGATTTTGCATGAAGTAGCATTTTTTATTTAAGAAAAGATGCAGAGCAAAAGAGCAGAATTCTATTTATGCTGAAATCATAATCTGAGATTGATATTTATCATTATAACCTGTTTCCAGGGGCTTACTTTTCTAAATCAGCAGCACAAGTCACGAAGCAAAGAATATTTTCAAAGTTAACTGTAGTCTATTAACATTATTCTTTATCAATATTATTACCTACTCAAGAAGAAGTTTCAAGAAGAAATCCATTTATTCCTAAATAACGAAAGTAATTGTCCTGGGTTCAGTAAGTGAAGTTGCTTAATTTTCCTGGTATAGCAATTTAATACTGCAATACACCCATATTAGGTTGAATGCTCCCTATTTACAGAAGTCCAAACATTCTCACAGCATGGTATTTTTAGAACCTATATTTTCCAAGTAACAAAAGAAATGTTCACTATGAAGTACAACGTGTAGAGTCCTTCCAACACAAATATTTGGGAAGCATACTTTAACTTATTTTGATTTACTTCACATGCCATTGGGTGTTCCTATTAAAGTATCTTCCCAGAACATCCAGAAAGTGTTTTGATTTCACTCAAAATAGAAAGCTTTTCACTTTCCAGGAAATTAACAAACAAAAAATGAACAGAAAATGTCAACCATGAAGACACTGATATGTTGAAATTTCCACATAACTAAAACATGCTATGTTCAGTGCATTGTAAGAACCCCTAAGTGAATGCTTCCTAGATGATAAAACAAACCAGCAACTTCACACTTCACATCACTACCACATTTTTAAGAAACTAATTTCCAAAGCATAAGAAGTTATGTTCACATAGCAGACTTATTCTTCATCTGTGGACAGTCCCCCTGAAACCCACTGAAATACCATGGATTTTGATATCAGTTTGAAAGGTGATTAAACAACACATTTCCAAATTGCTTCTCCATGACTTTAACCTAATGTATATATTAAACATGAGGAATATCTCAATACAGAATAAGACCTGAGGCTTTTTATAGAGTTAGCTTCTCTAACACCACTATATGCCACAATTTCCCTGGAACACTAATTGGGAAGCCAATTATTTGTTTGTTTCTTTGGTTTTTTGGTGGGTTTTTTTGTTGGCAGCCACCTCAGCTACTGGGCTTTTTAGTTCTTCCTAAACAGGTATTCCTAGGGGCTGGTGCCACAGAATTACAGAATAATCAGGTTAGAAGTGACCTCAAGAGGTCACTAGTCCATGTTAAAGGAGGATGAACAATAAATAAATATTTAAATATAGCCACACAGATACAGGCGGCCTTCTAGATCCCAATACAACAGAACACCACACAATGCCCCCCATTACCTGAATGGGAGGGTTCAGAGTGAAATAAACCCCATGCAAGTAATATGACACAAATACAAATGTATGATTAATAAAGTGAAATATTTAGTGAAAGTGAGATATGATTTAAAATGTTAAAAATTACAAACATTATTCTCATGACAGCCATTTATCCCAATTACGTGTTACAGTATACTAAGTTTGTGTTTACTTAAAAATCCTGAAGGCTTCCAATGAACTGTAAACATCAGTAAGTAACATCAGTGAGATGTTGCTATAGGAAGTGGGTTAGAGTGGTTTGGTGCTGTTAGGGTGAGGGGTTTTTTTAATTTTCTAATCAAATCTCTTCATTTTATCTTGCATTTATTTTAACATGGCTTCCTAAAGAAACAAGCTTTTTACAGTTTCAGTGTCTTAATCTTCTGTATGACTTTTCAACACATAGAACATATGAAGTAACCTGAAATGTGTTTAGAAGTCTCAAATTAAGGTGGGTTTCTTTTCTGTTCCCTAGATTTGCTTGATTATATAAAATTGGTTTGTAGAAAGAAGAAAATGTAAACTAGTTTTCCCACCAAGGGAGAGGACGCAGAAGATATCCATTCTATTTGGCAGAAAACAGCTAGCTAATCATCACAGACTCTGCTCCAAACTAACGGAGGTATTACTGTGTTTCACACTGGGGAAGGTGAGAATTAAGAGAACAAAATGACACTAATCTAAAAGAAAGTAGCCTTCATTAATTTTATTCCTTTCAAAACTGTTTAAGATTTGGGGTTTTTTTGCAAGCTTTAAGGCAAACATCCACCGAGTTCCCTAACTCAATTTTCTCTCAGCTTCCACAAATATCTCTTCTTACTCTATCTTCCTTCTCAAAGCCTCCCTTTAACCCAGTCCAAATGCATACTTTATGAGAGTCTTCCACACTACAGGGTCTACTGCCCTCATTCCAGCCAGTCTAGTACCTTCCCTGCCAACAGTCTCGATACACTCATACAAAGAATGAAATGAACGAGTGCAGATTACATTGTAACAGGAGTCTTATTAACTAAGACCTTTTTCTTGATCAACTTTACCCTAATTGCAGACATTTAAAAAATGCTATTTATTTAATGAAAGACATTAACTCAGCCTAAAAAGAAAATATATCCTAGTTTGACTCAGCATTCATACAGGCACAATGATAGAGAAAACATGTGAGTAAAGATTAAGGGCTAAATCTACTTGTCATGGAAATTGATCTGTATACATTTCTTTATTTGTTTTACACAACACATGCAATCCATCTTAAAAACTTAACAATGCCAGAAAATACCCCTAAAAAACCAACAAAGTTATAAAACAAAGCCCTTAACCTTGCCAGTATTCTTTTTTACTACCACTCCTTCTTCTCTTCTAGCTCCAGCTCTTCTGAACTTGAAACCAAACCTTGCTGGAAAAGGGAGGACGCTTTCCCAGAAGGTCAAAGCGCCAGATCATTACAAACGGACTTGGATGTCCTCTTGTATACAGAGATCTCTATTTAGCAGTTCTCCACTTCCCATCTAAAAACGTATTAAATGGATAGGAAGTCACCTTCACAAAAGAGAGGAAGACATTTCCTAAAGAAGGAGAAGTCTCACGTTCTGCAATGTGATTTTGAGGCTGCAGGTTTACATTCTAAGTATGAAGCAACAGAAAGCTATTACCACCCTTATAAAAATCTGCCGTTGGAGCTCTATCAGGAGTGTACGTGTAGCTTTGGCAGGCTGGCAGCTCCCTCTGCTGCTACATGAGCACCAGAACTAACACCACAGATTTTGGCCAAACCCAACATTACTTCATCAGTGTCTCAAGAGATAACATCCAGCAAGACCTGAAGATGATCCTGAAGAGCCCACAGTGAAACGCACGTATACTTCCTCACTACTGCTTTTCTATTATTCAAGCAAGTTCTTTCTCAACAAAGGACACCATTAAAGTCACAGAAAAAGATGCTAGATTAGCACACAGGGAATGCAGCATTTCATTTCATAGTGTATCTACCTTAATTTTATTATAGATTAAAAACAGCTACAGTATACTCGATATAAACTACTTTAGGTAATGAAAAACAAAGAAAAAGGAGAATTTTGAAGAATGGCCTGGAATATACATTTTAGCTTTCAAAGACACTCAACACAGTACACTTAAAACACACAAAATTCAGCTCACTTTTACTTGCAGAAGGCAGACTACTTTTTACGTATACGACAGAGGCTGACTTTACATGAGAAGAAAGTAAGAATATGAGGATGGTTCTAGTAGAAATACAGCCATGGATAACAAGTACAAAATTTTGACAAATCATTAAGTGACATTTGACAATGAGATATATCTCCATTTTTTTACCTGTAGTATTACTTTGGTATATTTTTGCAAGACCTGATTTGAGACAGAGACTTACGATCCACAAAATTGACTCTAAAAGTTCCTGAAGTATTGTTTTTTAAGTGTAAAGAAAGGAAAAAAAAGTAAATATAAGGATCCTTCCCTAAAAAAACAGTATACTCCACAGTGGTGATGGAATCGATAATGATTTCTATTCTGGATAAAGCAGTAGAACCTACTCTCTGACCAACAGAGAAATAGCTAAGCAAATAATCAAAACCAAACATAGCTCTCTTAACTTTAAGCATCCAAACCCTGTAAAACCTCAATGAAAAGCAACAAATTTTACTGTTAAAAAGATGCAGCTTGTCTTTCAATTTGGGAATCACAGCACATTTAAAATACATACATACACTGTATATAAACATATATATATACACTTAAATTCTGCTGAGGAAGTATGGATAGCAAGTGTTCCTGGTTAAATAATTCCTCAGCAAGGACTATGTACACATTCATATTTAAATATTTTATTGTCTGCAGGCAATATATGTTACAGAAGACTGGAGGAAAAAAGATCCATCACAGCTAAACTGTAAGTGCCACTGGACAGGCTAACTGTTTCAGAAGTTCAAACTATGAAGCATATTTAAAAAGCTCTAGCACCCAGAAAAACAACCATTATAGGACGTTAACCACAGAACACAAATGGCTATCTATGCACCCCAAACCTGCTTTGACTGTAACACACTTCAAGGGTACATAAGCCATATATCTAATCCCATTACCTCACAGTCAAGGTGGACTAAAGGTGTTTACTGTTACAGATGGTTAACACAGGTAACACACAGTAATCCAGCCAGCCACAGTAATTCAGCCTCCTCCCCACTCTTTAAGCTTCTGAATTCATCAGTGGAAGTTTGAGAAAGCAAAATATTTCCACTGAATTAATGTTTTAGGTACACAATACAAAGTGGACAGCTTTTTTCAGCTGAATATCACTTTCTAGTGTGGACAATGAAAAAGTGTTTTCAGTCTTACAGTGAAACTCATTACAGGCAACTAACCTCCAGTGATTTCACCACCACTGGGTCAATGCTTCAGGGGTTTAAATCTTACATTCCAAAATAGCTTTGGAATGAGAGGGCCTAAGAAAACACCAACTTCCTCACAGATCGGGATTTAAATGTTGTCATAAGGTGACGCAGTCCCTTGAATAAAGACAAATCTGCCCTGATTTAATAAATATTAGAACACTTAGAAAAAAGTTTTATCCCAAGTGCAGAGGATTTGATTTTAATGGCAGCTTTATGTTTCTCAATAGTTCCCTAAGGCAGCAGCACTTGCCACCAGACTTGCTCTGAGGTTCCCTTTCTCCAGAGAATCAAGTAGAAAAGGCACAGCACCAAAGACCATGCGCCCTCCTGAAACCCAATATGAATAAAACTTCAAAGTCTCTTACAAACTTTTGAAAATATCCTTGAGATTTTACTCTTTCTTGAAATAATTTTCTTGTCCCAGTGAAACCAGCAAGTAAGAGAGTATTTAAAAGCGGAAGTCACAATTATGTAAAACTTAGTTCTCAAGCAGAACTTCTAAACAGGTCAGTGAAGAATTCCTAGTTAGAAAAATCCAACATCCTGGTCCAACTCTCAAGTTCTTTACAGGTCAAAGCAACGCTTAACTTCAAAATGGTCTGGATGCTCTTCAAACTAATGGAGAGAAGAATCCAGAAATTTAGAGTTTAGGTATACCAACCAAGTCAGAAAAAGCACATACCCAGCATTTTTCTTCCATTCCCCCACTAAGTTACATTTACCCTTACAACTGATGGCAACAGCATGTTGCTTTACTAGGTAAAATAGCTGGATTTGGCATTGCCAAGTCCCTAATTTTATCACAAACCTCATGATGCCTGTTATTTGTCTTAAAATCAGAGTTTCTTAAATTATATGATTATCTGGGTAACACAGCTTTTATTGGAGAAAACATAAAGCACCCTCCACATGGAGAAAACAGCATGGCTCCAAAACCAGAAGGCAAATAAAGAAGGCAAAATGTTCTTTTTACAAGTAGATTTATGAGAAGCACAACTGGTGAAGCCTGTTTTTCTCTGGCTTTTTGTCTTGTGGTTGACTCTCTGATGTTTAACAAGGTGTAAACCCAGAATAAGTGTTTCCCATGGCTGTGCATTTCTAATAGCATTCTCCCCATACAGATCCGATAAGAGTCTAAAAAACAAAGAGTCTGAGCTTTCTACAGTTTCTCCCAACACTGAGAGTTCTACCAGGATCTGTCTCCTCTCAAAAATGGGTGAAGGGGCAAATGGAGGGGAAGGAGGAGACGTTTTCTTCATGTGACTCAAATTTCTGGAATACTAAGAAATTATCTTATAAAAAGCAAAGTAATTAGCAAGTATTCAATTAAATCAGTATAAATCCACAAAATAATAAACCCCAACACATAGAATACCTGTGAACAAACAAGTATTTAGTATTTTTCATGCTGGGAATAAAACTCCCATGTCCCAAAGCACTTTATTTTAAAAATTAATGTTATCCACATACATGTTATATTTTGCATCAAAACTGGCTCTATTTTATGCTCATGGTGGATTCACTACAGGAAAATAGGATATGGGGTGAAACAACAGGTCAATTATAATGCTGTACAGTCCATGTACAAAGCAAATGAGAACTTATAATAGGGTATCTCTATCAGCACCTCGTCATAAGAGAGAGAGCTGCAACGCTCTTGCTTGTAAAGCATATTATATTTGTTATCTTGCCGTTAGATGAATTTCTCTTTTTAGAAGGCCATGCTTAAACATCGCTTTTGAGTAGACACAGAATTAGCATGGCTATTCCCATACTGAGAGATAAAATAGTTGACTTAACTATAAGGACCCCAGTGATTGCCCTTCATCCTCCACCTTAAAGAGTATTTTCAAGAATTCTGTAAGAGACTTAGTTGTCTGCAAGTCCTCTCTTCCTTACCAAGGTTACTTGAACTTGAGCAGCAGAAATGAATAGGAAATTAGCTAACGAAGAAATACAGACACATAGGAATTGTGTGATCACGAGGTTTCCTTAGCGAGGCAGACTAAAGAAACCAACAAGATTTTTAAGTGAAAGAAGATACTAACAACACGAATTCAAGGATAAACAGACTACTCCTTTGGAAGAAACACTCTTCAGCTACACAGCAAATCAGTGAAGACTCTGTTGGGAAAGTTCAAACCAAAAGCTTTGGCAATTGAGCACACGGTATTTACAAGTAAAGAATTTCAGCATTTCAAAGTAAACATGTTAAAATGAAATAAAAAAGCAGGCCCTTACAGAATACTGAAGAAAAAAAGGTTCAAGTTTTCAGTATTGTAATGTCTCTATACCATTCAACTCCATAATAAATTAAGAAAAAATTATGGTATTTTTAATATACATACATAGACAGACACCCCTACATTTTACTTCTCAATTTAAGAATCTAGCAAGTTTGATGAAAACAGAAATTTCTTACTGTGATCCTCTTCATATCTAGCTGTCGGAGCTGCATCATATGATGGAGAACAGTGTGTTTGTACCATGTCTCCTGAGCTATTGGATTGCCATCAAGGGTGATATCTGACAAAGATGAGGACTCAGCAAGGCACAGAATATCCTCAAAACTGTAACCAAAAAAGTTTAAAGTTTTAATGTCATAGCGTAGGAATAATTTTGAGATGGAAGATTTTAGTTCTTAAGGATAGAACATTAATATTTACCTGTGCTGAAAAAAAACCCCACCCATCAATATTGTGTATGAGAAATCAAACTATAAGTATTTTGAAATATTTTGAAATAAGAGCTGCTGCTGTTAAACTTTTTAATCTCTTCACATACAGGTAGAAATAGATGGAAAATAAGGAGAACTTGTTAACTATGGGAGTATAGTTTTACCTAAAACACCCCACCTAAAATAGGGTGTGTATCAGCTTATATTAAAAATACCCTAAAATAATGCAAAGCGTATTTGCCATCAAAGTCAGTATGAAAACCATGGAAAATACAAGAAAAAAAGCCAACCACGAATGCCACAGAATGGTGTTTGCAACATCATTAAATAGCAGAAGAAAAACAATTAACAGAAGCATCATATTATCTTCAAAAGAGGTCTGACTTTTGTTCTGAGTTCAGTCTACAAACACTAACAAGTCAGCTTTTTAGACAACACCTGATTTGGCTTCCTGACAAAAATAACTGGCCTGTACAAAGTATATGTGGAAATGTACAGCTTGTATCATGTTCCTTTTATTGAAGATGGAATGTGAAAGAACGTAGTTCAAATAAACAGTATTTTTAAAAAACACAGAACTATTTAACTTGATTTCAAAACAAGCTGAATTTACAGAAATAAATATGATCCCCAACTCCTTTTAAGAAACTGTGTTAAGTCTTACAAAGTTAAGTAAATTGAAATGGAAAGCATGAAATAATTAGACTGGGTAGTTTTGAGAATGAACTTCAAAATATCTGATAGTTACAAAAGAATCAATGATGATCATAAATATAAACAGAGGATCACTTTACTAGACAAATACTTAATGACATTCTGAAATAAGAGATCATTTCTGAAGTGGAAAATATGGAATTGCTGCAAACTTTTTTATTCTTCTGACAATATTACTGACTGCATCAGCTGGTTATATTCTTCTTACTCTTGGTGGCAGGAAGAGTCTTCCTCTATTAATACTTGGAAGGATACCAAACTTTAATTATGCCCTGAACTTAAGGATCAGAAATCATATGTAGTATGAATGTTTAAGTTAAAGACTACCATTGAATAAAGCGGCAACTGCTTTTATCATTGGTATCACTCAACTTCCAAAAAAGCATGCAATAATCCGCTGAGGAATAACATTCAGCTGCAAAGGGCATCAGATAAACCAGAATATCAGATTATGAAATGAGATATCCCTGAAAAAGTCTTTTTATGACCCGGTTTCCTTTCCACAAACCAGCTTGCATAACCACATTTTCAGAAGATCAGGCAGACATTAGTTAAAATATATACTCAATATGCCCTGAAGATAAAAGATAATCTTCCCAAATGACTCTCAAGTTAGTAAAGCAAACTCGTAAACATGTTAGAATAAGAAAAGATAACTATTTCCATTTTGTGTGACAAATACGGAGATTTTTTGGTCCTAAAAAATTAGTTCGAAATAATGTAAATATATTTATTAAAAGCATTAAATATATTTACTCCAAGCACTTCCCACTAAACATTTAACCAAACAGGACTTTGCAATTACATACGATTTACAGATTTTTAATTAAACTTATCTCTTCAGGAAATGACAGAGAAGTTCAAAGTTTGCTAGTGTTTTCGAGACCTTCCACTTATGCACAGTGCTGTGCTTTGAAATTCTCAATGCTCCAGAACATTCATTCCAGAGCTAACACATATGCATTTGCTTCATCCTGCTTTTAGCTGCCCTATTAGCAGCCCAGTTTTAGAGCTAAACAGTTGTGCAAAATAGCTGTTTCACATCTTTGTATGACAATGTGAAAAAGAGAACATGAAAGAGAGACCTTTAGAAACTCTGGGTAGAAAACTTAATATACTTTACTTGTCACACTGGCATCCCAATGCTAAGCCAAGCAAAGCTGTAATACAACACACTTAGCAAACAGACTGCATAATTTTATAACCAAGCTTCTGTCTGCTTCCCAGCACGCAGACTGCTATGACACAGCCAAGCAGTAACCACCCCACGGGAAGCAGAGGCCATGTCTCAATGCTCTCTCTAGCCTGTTATCTACAAAGGAGTCTTTAACCTGCTCCTGAAATACAAAGCAGCTGTGGATGATGCCGTTTCAGACTGTCTCAGCCAATCATCTTGAATGGAATGTCTGCTTCTCTTTCCAAAAGACCTTCTTCTGCAGAAGCCGCACCAAACTACAGCTAACACCTCTCCTTCCCTGTTCTTTCTTGCTAGATCAATTTATCTTTGCTAAAATGGCAGTTTTGCCTACACAGACACAAGTTGTGAATTTAGGCAAAATTATCAAAAAGTGTTTTCTGCAAATCTTTTCAGATCAGTTTTACATCTTGTGTGCATGCTCAGAGTCCTGCATCCAATTCTCCCCTCTGCCAGAAGGGATGGAAATCCCCTTCTCCTGCCTCATATGAGAATGTGACATTACTAAGCCACAGAATACTCTGGAGTGGTGTAAGCTCAGCCTCCATCAGCAATATGCATTCACATTTACACAATAGGCAAGAACAAGATACAGAAACACTTGTCCTCTGTTACAGCCTACTTGCTCAGAAAGACAGTTGTTCCTTCTCTATACATATGTAACAATGACTTCTTAAAAGCATGTTCCATAAAGGGGAAAAGCTCTGAAGATGGGAAGGAAGGCAACATGCTCACTACAGTCTGACAGAACAGCCAAGAGGGAACTGTACATTCAAAAAATATTCAAAGAAGAAAACTTGGGGATTCCCAGGTTTCTAACCACTAAACTACTGATGAAAACAGAAGCTACCATAGTCAACCTTTCATTCTCCTTGTACTGCTTTTAGTGAAGTATTTAACCATATATTTATAAATTTTTGTGCTGCTAAGAAAAAAGGTATAAATGAAAAACCAACATAATGGTGGCCCGGACAGCAGTGTAACAGTGAAAATATGTATTTTGCTTCCAAGATTTAAAAATAGTCTACCCTGGTTTCATATTTTGAAATATGAACAATAACCCTCTTTCTAAATCTCAGTGGCGTATCTTTCCTGAAGAAAAGTTTCTGTAATCAATTCCCCAGCACCACAAGACAAATTCAAAATTGGATTTCTCCCCCTTCTTCATAACTAGTTCTAGAGACAGACATGTTACCGTCAGCCATCAGGTATGAATGCCTTCAGTTTGTAACTAGATTTTTTTGGGCTGAAGCCAGAAGTAGGACTACTTTTGTTTCAGATCAGCATGAACTTCTACAACGTTCAGTTTTAGCTTATATTATCTTGCCAACACACCTTTTTTTACTAAAAGCTCTGCAGAGAAGCAGCAGAATTCTGAGTCCTCCTATGAGGCATGAGCGGAAAAAGGAATAGGTGCTTAAATCCATTACAGATTCCTGAGCCTCAAATAGTGACAATTTTTAAAAGGTATTCCCAAATCTTCTACTGAAATATTCGTGTCAGTATGTATCAATTTCAGACTCACGGATTTTTGCTGACACAGGAAAATAAAAAGCAGCAAGACTTGCCCATGAAAGCACTGCCTCAAAAATGCTACTTTTAAAATGGTCAGTAATGAGATATTTTAATGAATCTGTAATACAAATATATCCAGGTTTTGGCAATATACTTTGTTGTTCATTTCCATTTGCAGATTTTCTCTATGCACCTACAGAGATATGAACTGGAACACCTCTGTATCAATTTGACTATCTAAAACAAAGAACAGACACAGCTGTTTCTAGGAAAAATAACTTCTAAAATTACCTTATGGCACAGAGTAAACCCAGGTAAGTGAAAAGGCATAGAAGACAAACATTTCCATGTATAACAAAATCATTTAAAAGGGTTATAGGAATGCTCAGATGTAGCACAGCATTTCACTAGTATTACAGTTGCATGTAACTTCTTCAGTCAGTTCAAATAGTATCAAGCCAAATACCAGAAAACAGATGGTCAAGAGTATATTTTTATATTTAATCATTTTCCTGTTAGAAGACATATCTACTACAGAAGTCAAAATCAGGAAGTAATGGGCTTTCAGCCTTCATTACTGCTACATGTAATAGAAAGATGTTATTTCAAAAACCCAAGCTAAATGTGATCACCAAAAGAAACTGTTTCTTTGTTTTAAAATAATGACTGGTAGATAATGAGTTACACTGATCCACCCACCTATCTACCCACATATATATACAACATTTATAGAAGAGTAATGTCTTTCATTTGACATTAAGATTTTATTTTTACACCTATGCCAACTACAAATTAAAACCAAGTTATATATTTGCACAAATGTTCTGAGTATTTCTAGCTTATATGAAAAATAAAATTAGATCAATAGTTTAGCTGAAGCCCCAATGAGTAACAAAAATCATGATACAGTACCAAGAAGCAAGCTACTGAATACATAAAGTTTGAGAAAAGTACTTTGAAAACCTCACAGGAAAAATGAAACATTTTTTCTTCCTTAATGTGAAAAAGGAGTCAGAAAACTGTGCAAAATATACCAAGCATTTAAAGAGATTCAGAAATTCTAGTGACTGCAGTGATGCTCCCTGATGGCAAGGGAGCCAGCTACTGCAGTCCCCTCAGCATTCTTGCCAAGCTAAGACATTTTTTAGAAAAAGAGAAACAAAAGGCAGGTTTCAATTCTGGAAAGAGAGATGCAAAATGCTACCCCCCTCTCTTTATTTTGCTGATTTAAAACATAAAATAAGAAGACAAGCAGACTGATGAAGGAAAGAGCATATTAAAGATTCCTGCAAATAATCTCTGATTTTTTAAATGCTTAATACCCACGAGTATTTAAGGAGCTCTACTGCATTTGTACTTCAAGAACATCAGGAAGACAGACAAGTAGGTTGGAGCTGTCTGCAAAAAACATAATGCAGGTCAACTTAAAATGTTCCAAGTGGCTACTGCAATAAAAGCTCACATCAAGTGTAACATTTTACAGAGAAAGCAGATACCACAAGAAAAACATGGTATTTCCAGTAGTTGGAACATGAAGCATCTTTCCCCTATACTACATTAAATTATTTGATTCTAAGCAAAAAAGGCTGGTGGTGATTAAGGGATAGCAAAAAGGACATATCCAACTGAAGATAATGCAGGCACTATTTCATTATTTTGGTTTTTTAATATTGGCACTGGTATAAATGCAGACTCCCAAAATGCATGAATATGAAAAGGCATAGAAGACAAACACTTCTATTTATAACAAAATGCACTTAGTTACTTGATACTATAGAAACCTTGCTCTGAAAGACGAGCTAGTCTGCTTCTGTCATCTGGTTTGAAAGGGAAATAAACATGAACGCACCTTTCAGACTTTATTAATACATGGGCAAGCCAAATACAAGCATGAAATAATTTAAGCATTGTAAGCAGAATCTGACTCAGCAGTTTGTGTAACTCTATAAATACAGTGATGGTATGTTAAATATAATATGTACCTTTTGTAATGTTAGCTTAACAGATACCTGGTTTAATGGCAAAACTTATTTACAACACTATTCTTAATTTTGATCATCACTGTAAACAGTATGATGGTTTTAAAATTAAAAATACAAGTTTCTTGGTAGAATTCTCATAGTACAATTACATTTAAATGCAAAGGGTTTCAAGACATGTTATGTTTAAATAGAATATACACAATGGCTTGATTATGCCATCTGTTAGGGGAAAAAATAGTATCTGCACTCACAGTGTTTTATTTTAATTTTAATGAAATACAGCTCCTACAGTATATTTTAAATAACTGATAGGAAGCAAACTGCTATTTCCCTTACCTAGATATATTGTTGAAGCTGAGGAAGAGACGCTGGAGACATGGCAAAGTATCCACATCTTTCTAGAAGGAAAGATAGAAGCATAAATTCAGTAGCTGAAAGTAGCTTTTGAACCTCTCTACTTTCCCTGATGAAATACAATCATTTCTATATGCTATAACCTTGCTGCAACATTGATTTCTGCAGCTCCATTTCTCCCTGCTGCAGACTGCAAGGGAGTGTTTCAGTGCAGATATCCACGCTGCAGAACAAGCTGCATCACTTGCAAAGCAAATGATGTTAAAGAAAAGAGGATAAGGCTGCTGCTGCTGCTTTCTGAACAGGCTTTAGGGAAATAAGCCAACATGCTGCCTCAGCATTTAAGCTGCAGGATAAACACACTGGTTGAAAAAAAAAAAAAAAGAAAAAAAAAAGAAAGAAAGAAAGGAAGAAAATAAAAGGCTTATTTCATGACTATGCTGAAATAAGGTTTTTTGAAGTGTAATGCAGCACCAAACAGCAATGACTTTTCTGCCAAAGAATGACCTGGAGGACTGTCACCTTTACAGTTAAAATTTATAAGGAATGACTTTCCAGAATGAGTAATCAAATTTAATATATGTTACTAAAGGCCTTTCGATAAAAGCTCTAAACAGCAAGTAACAAATATTACTAAGATGGAACATATCAAGTAAGTACAAACTTCATTTACGAAATATAAATCCATAACAGCCACACAGCATGGTCTGCAGTGATTCATGTACTGTTCAGACTGCACACCTCAACCCTCAGTTATATATCTCCATCTCCTTATGCTAGTAAGGAGCATACTCAAATTTGCAACCAGTGGACATAAACCTATTACTTACACCACAGGGAAGCACACGTTGAGTTTAGCCACAAACTCACATCTACTGCCCTTCTTCCCTCCATTTGATTCGTGACATGTCTACATCACATTCGAAAAACAGAAACAGTTCATTCTACCCAAAGAGGCGAGCACAAGACAGCTCTAAACAAACTGTATAGCTGCAATTAATGAAAGAGTGAATGTGAGCTAACAGGTGTTGCTGGGAGGCACAGCTCTGCACGCACCAAGCAGTGCTTACCCACTCAGGCTTGAAGATGCAAAACTCCTGGCTCAGAGCTGTTCTGGATCCTCCCAGATTAGACCATGGAAAGACTGAGTTCACAACAGAATTCCGTATGGACACACCCTCTGTCCCATAGCTACTCTCACTGTTGATGCTTAAAGGAGTGGGCAAGCATGATACAGGTGAATGTACGTTTGAAGACAGGCATTATAGAGTTGTGCACGGTAATTCTTATGTAGCAATAATTTTAACTAACGGAAGAATTTTGCATTGAGGAATGCAAAGTAATTTCTCCTGAAGACACATTTCTGTAACTAGCATACGCTGCTGTCCTGTAAAGTACATCACAAGTCTCATAGGCGTGACAGCAAGAGAAAAAAAACAAGAAAAGCCTCCAGCTTCTTCAGCTTTGATTCAGTCATACAAAGCAGTGGACTCATACAGGGCAGGAGTTCTTTTGCAACAAGATGGTGAACACCTTGACCAGTCCTCCTTTAAATCTAAGATCAAGCTGCAGGTGACAAAATCTGGAAATTTAAGCTTTTAATACCTCAAAGCAATCAAGCAGATCTGTCTAACAGTGGACCCCAATTCATGACTGGATGGAAGATAGATAAATGTTCCATAATTCATGGTATGCATAGATTTATGCTTTTGATACCACATGAGACACTTTGTAATCATTTATTGCATGCATTTGCTATTTTCCAGAATGGTCAGACTTCTTGAAGATACTTAAGTCCTATAAAATGTGATTCTTCTATAAATCAAGCCTCAGGACTGCCTTTTAAAATCCTACAGCTTTGGACAAACTACAGTTTATTCTTACAAAAGTAACTACTTATGATTCATGAATTTCCAGTCTCTAATGAATACCTCTAAGACAAAAAATGGTCCCAAGATTGCTAATCTAAGGCAGTGTTTAAACAAACTACATTGGATAGCTTTAATTACTCAATAGAGTAAACTGAAACGGGTACAGAGTTCAGCATGAAACCTCATTTTGTTTGACAAGCGGTATCTTTCCTTCACAAAAACAATAGACTTTGTGTGTGTGTGTGTAAAACAAGGAAGGCTCGCAAAAGTGTCCTGAAAGTTATTAAATTATATTGACTTTATTTCATGTTTTTTTCGGATAGCAAACTTTTAAAAATTGATGTTAGATTCTTTCATTTAAAGAAATAATCAAGTTTAAAAAGCTTGATTCATAATGATAGTGTTGTCATAGTAACTCAGTAACTAAAACACGGGCCAAAAACTAAATTGCAGAAACCAAATTCTTTAATGAACTTAGAGTGAAAGTTTTCAAGTGCTGCATCATAACTATATCATGTTTAAAATGACACAATAAGAAAACCTAAACCTCATCTTAAAGCAAAGAAATGTAACCCCCCTTCCTTTAACTACTCAAGTTATATTGCCTACTACTCCAGCAATAATATAACAGTATCTTGGATATTCTTTCCATAAACTGGTATATTTGTTTCTAGATTTTCAGTAACGTTAAAAAAAAAAAAAAAAAAAAAAAAAAAAAAAAAAAAAAAAGAGTAGCAAATAAATACACGTACATTGTTTTACACAGAGAAAAAGACAACACCTGCCATTAAAATAAGAAAGAGATTTTATTTTAGGAAAAATACAATGATTCACTTTAGGTTTCAGAGATAATGATGTGTCCAAGGCTTGACTTCACATGATTTAAGAGTTCTCTAGAGGAAGGAGAGTTAGTGTCATACTTGCTAAAATCACCACGCAATAAAAAAACAACACAAAAACACACACACAAAACACCAAGCCATTAGAATTTAACCCAGGTAAAAACAAACAATCAGACAAAATAAAGTACTTCCCTAAAGAAAATATAATCTTCTGAAACACTGCCTCTGGCCAGGAAAGACTAAAACATTGAGATGCACCGCAGAGCCCAAGCCTGTAACTCACTAATTTAAATTTCATGCTGATTCTTCATTTGTGACAACAGGAAGGAAGGAGCAAATATGAGCTATGCCTGAGAGGAGTAAAAAGGCAGCAACTACAAGTAAGGAAGAGAGTTCTAGGTAACATAACTGATACAGAGGGAAAGTATAGTAGCAGAATCACTAATGAGCAAAAATTTCTTTTTTCTGAAGTGTAAAAACAATTCATGCATAGAAAACCAGCAGATTTGAGAAAGGCTCAGCAGCAATAGGAGACCGCGAACTAAAGGAATGATGAGGGCCAGCTACTTAAGTAGACTTACTGTATTATTTTAAGAAGTGCTTGTTCCAATAAGCTACTTGCCATACCTGAGCTGCAACTCTTAAATTGCGAAGTGAAAAGCTTTAATTTTTATAACTTAAAGACTTACAATGCTAGGTTAAAGCTTCAAATGCTAAATTCTGCTTTTAAGAGAAATACCTATTTTCTCTGCATTTGCCCCAGAAACAGTCATAAGATGATGAAATTTAAGATGGTCTGGTTACTTAGCTAAGCTACAGAAATAAAGTGAGGGTTTCTAGGAAACATTATGGAAGAAAAGTATCTACATGTGCATGTTAGAACCCCAAAGCTTCTTCAGAATCTGAGGCACATCGTGGTCCTCCCCCCGAGAACCATCATGAGCTATCAAGATGTGAATCACTACAACCCATCATAGATTCGCAGAATAGTTTGGCTTGGAAGGGACCTTTAAAGGTTATCAAGTCTAACATCTGATCACATTTAAACAAAATAACACCAAAAATAAACTGCTGTTTGCTTCACCTTAAATGTCACAGCAGAACAACATAAGCAACACAAGACAGGAAACCACAAAATTTCACAAATCTGAAATGCTGATATGGTTTAGACAAGTTACATTAACAGTGCATTTTGTTAAAACCAAAATAAAGGAAGAAAAAGAGAAATATACAAGAGTTTTATTCCTTACTATGGCAGAGACTTGATTATGACGAAGGTTGAGCTCTGTGAGTGAATCCAGTCCATTAAGATTTTCTACAATGGTTAGTAGGTTTCTGGCAAGGTTTAACACTCTGAGTTCATTCAAATGACTGATGTTTTCTATTTTAGTAATCTGTGAAAGAGGCATAATTATAAATATGCATACTGTGGCTTGTATAGATATACAATAGATAAATGTTGTAAATTTTTTTTAAAGTATACATAAACAATCAACTCTATTACAATAATGTGCTTCTTGTGTGTTTTTCTAAACCACGATAATCATGTCATAAGTTGCTGAAAACAAGCTACAGTCTGCTAGACATTAAGCACTAGTATTTACTCCGCCAATATCTTTCTAGTCATAGTGTGGATCTGCTGGATGGTAGGAAGGCTCTGCAGAGGGATCTGGACAGGCTGGATCGATAGGCCAAGGTGTGTTGTGCCGGGCAAACAACAAGGCAAAGTGCTGGGTCCTGCACTTGGCCTACAACAACCCCACGCAATGCTCCAGGCTCGGGGAAGAGTGGCTGGAAAGCTGCTCAGGAGAAAAGGACCTGGGGGTGCTGACTAACAGAGCTGAACATGAGCCAGCTTATGCCCAGGCAGCCAAAAACGTCAACAGCATCCTGGCCTGTATGAGCAACAGTGCGGCCAGAAGGATCAGGGAAGCAATCCTCCCCCTGTACTCAGCACTGGTGAGGCTGCACTTCGAATACTGTGTTCAGTTCTGGGCCCCTCACTACCAGAGAGATACCGAGTTGCTGGAGGAGGTCCAGAGAAGGGCAACGAAGCTAGTGAAGGGTCTGGAGCACGAGTCTGATAAGGAACAGCTGAGGGTACTGGTGTTAGTTAGTCTGAAGAAGAGAAGGCTCAGGGGGGACCTTATTGCTCTCTACAACTACCTGAAAGGAGGATGGAGCAAGGAAGTGGCTGGTCTCTTCTCCCAAGTAACAAGTGATAGCACAAGAGGTAATGGCCACAAGCTGTGCCAGGGGAGGTTTAGACTGGGTATTAGGAAAAATTTCTTCACCAAAAGGGTGGCCAAGCAATAGAACAGGCTGGCCAGGGCAGTGGTGTAATCACCATCCCTGGAAGTGTTCAAAAACCATGCAGATGAGGCCTTCAGTGCAACAGCTTAGGGGTGGACATGGCAGTCCTGGGGTAGCAGTGGGACTTGATGATCTTAAAGGTCTTTTTGAATCTAGCTGATTCTATGATTCGATGGCAAAGCAACTCTTCTAATCTAAGCTGAGCTGCATTGCATTAGTGGACAGCAAACATCAAGCCCTCTGCAGAGGCAGAGATGATCCATATAATAGCAAAACCCTCAAATCTTAGATAAGCCTTTGGGGACAGGCTAATTACTTCAGGGAGCTAACTTACACTTTCACAGAAATGGGAACTGCACACCATTATATACTGAACCTCACTCAGCAGTAAAATTAGTCAACACTTCCTTCCTTACCATCAGAAAGTAGGCTACTTCAGCTGTGCTGTTGTGTAGCAGCAACCTTGAAGACACCATAGAACTAAGACAACGTTGATGACATCATGCTATGCTAAAATTAGCAAGTTTTGTGCACCGCTGATCCTTAATTTGTCTGCAAAGGCACTCAAACACATCTCCAAATCTCCTGGTACTTATGCTACAAAAATATGTGGCATCTTATCTCCCTAACATCACAGAACTCTGCACCAGTTTCCCTTCGTGCATCTTAAAGACCCAGTAGCGGCATTCACAGTTCTATCTACAGTAGCTCCACAGACAGACTTCCCAGCAGGTCACGAGAACAGGAACCTGCTGTGAGTCAGGGGCAAGGAGCAGCCACAGCCCTTTGAAGAAGAAAGCAATTTTTCTGCAATCAGAACTTGTAAGGAAGTTTACAAGCAGGTAACTGCTGGAACCAGAAAGACATACTCAGAAGTTAGAAAAGAAAGCAACAGCATCCTTAATTTGGATACACAGCACATTTACTTAACAGTCCCCAGCACTTCTTTGGCAATTCATGGCTTCCCATGATTAGAAAAATGGAGTAATTGAAGTGACTGAACTACACTAAATCGGCAGCTGCCTGAGGTTTGGGTGCAAAATTAATACCTTATTTTAGAGATTCAGGTGATATTGACCAAAAAAACCCCAAAACAAGGTAATAAAAAGAGCAGTAATAGCTAATGCCCCTTAATTTTATTTTTTACTTCTAGAAACGTAACTGGTTTATGACGGCATTATTTATTACTCTGTTGACATGACTTGGATTAATTTCCTGCTGTGTTTCACAGTGACCAATTCAAGGACTTCTATCCAGATACATATTTCTGATGGCGCTCTGGGATCTGTCCTCCAGCATGTATCCAGATATTTATGGAGGATGTGCAAACAGCAATGTATTATGAAGATGTAGTACTGCCACTGCAAAGGGGGATACTCCTATCATTTTCTTGCCAATACCCATGCTATATGGCAGAAAGAAGGCAGCAGGTTTTCCTGTGGAAAAGACTTCAGCCTTCCATAATGTGTGGGAGAGCATCCAAGGATATAGTGCACAAAGCTACTAACAAATATAATGAATTCCCTTTCAAATAGAATGATCATCTGCCGGACCACCCCAAGGTCCCTTCAACACTGTGTACTCAGGCACACCATTCCTCCTCTAAGCTGCCAACAGCCCTTTGATGCAGACAAGTAAGATGGTGAATGGTATCACACCTTCCCAGTGATAATGAACTTCCTGATGCTTTAGACCAGTATAGGTCTGGCCATGCCAGCTTCCAGAAAGCTTCTAGAAGTTCATGGAAAAGGAGAAAATGTAAGGTAACTGTTATTTAACAGTTTGAGAAAACACTGTTGTTGGTAAATTTCATATATATATATATATATACACACATACATATACATACACACATATATATACACAAACACACACACGTATGTATACATATATAGATATATACATATATATCTATATAAGCCTATGGCAGTCATGACCTGAATATGCTGCTATAAAAAGTATTTCAGCAATTTTTCAATTAACAAGCATAAAGAAGTAGATAGCAAAAACAAAATTAGGTAACATCTTAAACCAACCTTTGATTCAACTGCTACTTAAACTACTATGCATCATCCTTTTATGGGTATCATATGCAGAAAATAAAAATTATCAGGATACAAAAATATTACAGCTGAAGGAACAGAAAATACCTCCATTTAGAACAAGACATTTAGACAGAAAGAGTTGTAAAAGCAAAGCCAAGAGCAGATGGCCAGCATGAAGAGCACAGACCTCTGCAGGTGTCTGCTTAGCTAGAATTACAGCATGCCACAATGTAGAATATTAATCTTGGCATTTTACTGCTAATACAAAGATAAAGATTTCATCAGCAATGTATAGAGTTGCACTTCTATGACTTTGTTAAGTTTTAAGATTAACTTTACTGGATTTGCTGTTTCAATTATGCATGCAACATATGAAGAGAAACCAGATTTTAGTACATGCTATTAGGTGCAGATTGGATACAAGCCAGAACTGAACAAAACCACTATTTTCTTGTTTGCTTGTATGTTTGAACACTTAGATATGAAATAGATTTATTTCAGAAAAAATGGTTATGCACCCCAATCATCAATAACTAAACTACACAAAAGTTCACTTTTTTACACACATTTTGAGATTACTGGAGAAAGTTTATACCTGAACAAAATCAAGTTGATCTTTTTTTGGTTTTTTCCCCTTTTACTTATATCCTTTAACTTTTGGCAAGGAAAATTACTCACAGAATTAAACACAAAACAAAAAAATAACAACTTCTCAAAACGTAAAGCATTCTAGAGTGAACTTCATTCTAAATGAAGTTAGACTTTATTCATTCTTTTATGAATAGACTTTTTTTCATTCTAAATAAAGACTTCAACTTGACTCACTTTAATGCATTAGTTCACTGGAAATGGAGTAAAGTCCATTTTAACCCTACCTAAAACAAAAAAGGTTTTAAAAAGAATGTATATGAAACACATACCATTTATACTATTTACCTTGACAACAAAGATCAAGTCAACAAACAGCATTCTCTTCAGAGTGCTTAGAAGCACACTGTTTGGAAATTAAATGTTCAGTTCAAAATTAAACGAAAGTTGTGCATTAAACAGCCAGCCTGCTGCCAAAGATTCTCTTGCCCTTTTTAGACAGGTGGATCCCTGATGTGGTATTTTATGTCCGTATTAGTGTTTTAATAACCACAGAAACAGAGCCTCTACATAAAAATTAAATGTTATTAAAATGCTGTATTTTCTTACCATTTTATATTGAGCAGTATTAAAACCAAGAGCCTTTTTAAATCATGAAGAAAACCAGGCTGAGAGCAGTACTATGAGAAGGGAATTCACATGTTGACATTTTACTAGGCATTACAGGTTTTTTTTGGGGGGGGGGGGGTGTTAACCTTCTTTTGGGTATTTATTGTACTAAGGTATTCTCTTTAATTACTAATGCATTTAAAAGCTTGATTTCAAAAAATAAGTGTCATACAAGTTTCATTATTAAGCACTGTGGAATACTGTACCTCAATGTTTTAAAGCACATCCAGTCACCAGTACATTTCTCACTTGGGTGGGAGAAGTCTTAAAGTTCAGACCAAACCATATTATCCAAAAAACCCAGCACCCAAATAAATCAAAATACTTTCCCAGAAGAGAACAAAAATGAAATTTTCCACCTCCTATTTTTCCTCACCTCCAACCTCTTGGAAACATTCCAGTCTTTTAAGTTTCACAATCTGCATTCCATCTATGGGACTGATTTACACCCCAAGAGGGAGGGAAGATTAAGACTAAACCAGGAATCTAGCCTTCCTCTTAACTGCTACTACTCCATGAATGTTAACAAAAGTAATTTCTAGCTTGACTCTAGCACTATTTTTGGAAAATAAGATTAATAATCTCCATATTTTGGACATACCCTATTTGAGTATTTATATTCTGTATCCACTGAGAGAGACCGCTGAGATTTCTTACTTTACCTAGAAATACTGTGCATTATGGGAGAGTTCACGTTTTTTGTTAGCCTAACGCATTTCAACTATCTTTAATACAACTTGTACACGAGATTTCATTGTTCAAGGATCACCTGGGATCACAGGTAACATTTAAGAGATACTCTGCATTATTAAAAATAGCTTTGAACACCAATAAAAATAAAATCATTACAAGCACCTTAGACTATTCTTGTAGTGAATTAAAACTATTGAAGTAAGAATGAAAAAGATTTGGTCAGATACTGCGTTGGGGATATTACACACAAGATATCTTAGTATTGTAAATATGTCCCATAAGATATATAAATAATAAAGAGGAAAAATGGTAGTTAAAAGAATAAATTTTTTTGCCAGACATGTGAGCACCTTCAATATCCTTGGAAAGAATCATGTAATACCACATTCACCAAAGAGTCAATCTGGTAACATGACTTGCCAAAAGGCATCAGAAGGATTTACTGGATTTTGCTATAACCTGCTACACTGGATTTTATGGGTTTTATTTAATGACATCAGACAAGCCAAACCATGAAAACAAAGACTATGGAAAAACTCTGTTCTGTATTATAAGCACTGATACTACTGTTGCAATTTATATTCCATAGTATATTGTAGCAGTAAAGTTATTGTTGCCAGGCAACATCATACAAATGGTAGCATTTTACTTACAGAACTCTTCTCATCTACTGGAGTCTAACAAACATGTTAAATTGCCTTCTGGAATTATGTGACTACAGAGGAAAGCAAGTGATACCAGAATCACTGAATGTAAGTTCACTCTTATCGCAAGTAAACTGTGTACAAGCCACAAATACTCAGCTAATCCTCTACTGCAATGAAGATCGCTCACCAAATATTCTTCCCTTAATAGAACTGTCTTTACAACTAAAAAATGACGTGTCCTCGTCTTCTATTAACTAAGACACAGCAACTTCAAGAGGCAAAACCTCCAATTGAAACCAAGCTGCTGAAGACAGACAGGTAAAAGAAAAAAAGTTAATATGAAAGCTTGCATAGTTTTAAACTACAAAGGAACAGAAAGATAATTTATTAATAGAAGGACAAAAAGCCAGGCTAGACAGAGCCCTGGGCAAGGTGGTCTAGTGTGAAGCACTGCTGCCCATGGCAGGGAAGTTGGAACTACATGATCTCAAAGTCCTTTCCAAGCCTACCCATTCAGGATTCTATGACTCGTGCCCTTCAAATGCACATTTATGATTTACACTTTCTCAAAAAGAAAAGCACTTCTTATGCTCCAGAGATTTAACTCCTGATACAGGATTTGTTATATTCTCTGGACTAAAGCAGGCCTGTCCTATGAAGCTGATCTAGCACCAGCTGGTTGGGCACTACGCCCAAACCTCCTAATGAAGTTCTAATTAACATAAAGGGACTCGTACAGACGCATTTCCATTCCGCACAGTCAAGCAACTGTATAATAAAGAAGACAATGAAATCAGTTAAGACATTAAAACTCTCAGAAAGGGAATCCAGAAAACACACACACTGGTCTCATATAGTCACAATAACCATACCTTGTTTTCAACAGCTCAATTATGGAACATTTTCTATCTATTAAATTTATTTTATAAAAGAATAGTGTATCTGGCTGGCCCACAATTCACAATGCTGCTTCTGACATAGCCATTAGCCAAGAATCTTCCTCTCCTCTTTAGTACAGTCAAAACTTTAGGCACCGCTTGAAATGGAAATGACTGCTTAGTGTCAAATTGGGGTAACTGAATAGACATTAAGCAACTGAAGACCCTTCAGAAGCATGAATCAATCAAGAGCTTGGACCCACTGGGCTTTTTCCTGTACAAATTTAAGTCTTCAACAGATACGTAAGGGATCTTGCTCTGTAAGATCAACAGTAGGAACAACACAACCCAATGGGATCTCAAATTTTTCTATGACTTCTAAGACTAGGTTACTTTAACACCACAACTACTTACGCTAGATTACTATTCTGTAGGTATGAGGGCTATTATACTCAGTCGACTCAGCATTTTAATCACTGTAACTTTCCAGAAGTACAATGCTGAAAGTATAACAGACTTGATACCAAGATTCAGAATAACATCATATCACCTTTTATTGATTTACTGATATCTGTGACCTCAAGAGTTGCAAAATTTGCTACCAGTTCCCTTTCAAAAGCAGGAGTTGAGTAAAAGACACAGGAAATGCACAACATCTAATCAAGTTATTGTAGTGTACCTGATTTCCATGAAGATCTAAAACATCAAGATTTTTTAGGTTCTCCAGATTTGAGATCTTCTTTATTCTGCAGGATTTCAATTGTGACATAATTATTTTTCATATTAGATAAAAAGTAGAATTCATTTTCTAGCTAATACAATACTCAGCCATTTGTTCCTGCCTACCCAGAGTAACAGAACAATAACAAAGCTCTGAAACAGGATTAAAAAAAAAAAAAAAAAAAGAAAATGAATGACTATCACATTCCTCTCTGTCTGTCATTGATGTAATAGCAGCAGTATGTACACAGTGCTTCTAGGAAGATAAAAAGGGAGGAATACTTGCACCACTAGAAAACAAAGTCAACAATCAACCTATCCAGATATCTAAATAATAGTAACAACTCCCCCACACATTCTTATTGGCAAACAGCTAATTCCAAACCAGAAAGACTACAGCAACACAAGCTTTTGAGAGTTGCTACCAGAACGCAGAATCCCACCCCCCATACCTCCCAAAAAAACCCAAACAACAAAACACAAACAAACAAAAGAACACCACACACAACCAACTGAAAAAAAACCCAAGCAAAACAAAACTGAAAGCCACTGGCCATTTCTAGACAATACAAACCTCAAGATTTGTCACTACTTCTGCTCACTCTGTACAACTTCATTGTCTTAAAACTTTTCTGTCCTGTCCTATCTTCTCAGGTTCCAAACCTAGGTTATTATATACTCAACAGCATCATCTACTGGCCGATGATATTAAACATCATGTGTATTATGCATTTTTTTCAAGACTTATCAAAGATCACATATATACCAAGCTGAAAACACATTGCTAGCAGCTGTGTCTGATTTGTAATCATTTATGAGAAAGTCTTGTCCTAACTTACCTCAAAACCATACTTATATGTAAACAAACCATATAGCACTCGATGTAGTTATGATTCTAAGAATAATTCCTTAAAATTATTGTTCCCATGCCCCAATATTTTGCTATACACTAAGTTAATTTCTACAGGTGAGATTTTTAATATAAAAGCTATTAGCTCAGCCCCTGATCAGAATAAGCATTACTTAGCAACAACTAATCCATCAGTGTGTTAGGAGCATTGTTCTCAGACTAAAGCTGAAACTCAGCACTGCACCAGCTACTAGGAAGCAGAAAAATATTTGTTTACAGCTGAACCCAGGACAGCTCTAATAAGATACTGCACAACTGTACGTTGCCAGTTTTGAATACAGGCTGAATTAGGAGATAGATTCTTTGTAACCTGCACATAACTGAAGTTTGTTTACCAGTTCTTCCTTTACTGAATATAAAGCAAGAAAGAAAACTGAACAAAATCAAAGCACAAGCCTTAGCTGGGTCAGCAATTCCATAGATACTTCCATTAAAGGCTGCAGGATTTCAACTGTATCTTCAGAAAGTAATACAACTAGCATGTTGTATCTCCCAACAGAACAGAATTAATAAATAAGCAATAAAATCCATGATTCCTCTGCCTGATTTTTTTCCCTAAAATGAAAACATCCGGCAGAAATATTTTTCATAGGTTAAGGAATCAACAAATACTGCACATGATGTGAAAAGAGATTCCACCTGGCACACAATCTAAGAACATATATTAAATAGTCAATCAGAACAGAAGACTAGATTGAAACAAAACTGTTGCTAAAGCTTACACAAGAAAGGAATTTCCTGAACAACATTAGGAGCAAAAACTGTGTGCTTCCTCAGTGGGATCCCTAACACTTAGCTAGTGTTAGGGACCAGGTCACTGGTCAGACACCAAATTCCAAAACTCTGCAAGTATCAGACGGAGCAATAGATCACAGCTGCTACACCATAAAGACGTAGGGTGCTTTAAGTTAGTTTTATTAATGTTACCTGTTCTTTCCCAACAAAAGGACTCTTAGGGATCTCAGAGTTGAAACCCCACTTATTTCTTCTATCTGGTTATCATACAAATCTAAGAAAACAAGATGCTGCAGATTAGAAATATTTTGGATCCGGGTTATAAAGTTATGTTGGAAATTCAAAAGGCGAAGATCTTCCCCATCAATAACTGGGCACACTGTCAGTTTTTGCCTGGAAGGAAAATGAAACAAAAAACCCCACATGTAAGTAACAAACTGGTAATCCACCTTCTACTCACCCACTCTGACTGAACCGAGAAAGTATTTTAATTAGTTTGCTAATTAAATTCTGTAAAATAAGGCACTAACTCCTTACTCTAGAAAACAAAACAAATCCACAACCCCCTAGCATGAAAATATAGTAGAAGTGTCTCCAAAATTCTTTGAAAGTCTGTCCTCCTAGAGATTTGCATGCTACATGGAAGCTACATACAAGTTCCATGTTGTGACAACATAACATTTCAACAGATGCAGCCTGCCAACTTTCTATTTTTTCATCAGATTTTTATAGCAGCTTGCCCAGATCACAATTTATAGTATTCTATGTCTATGCAATTTTTCTTTGGTTTACAGAACTTTACATTTGAAGCATAAACACGTGTAATCCTAAGTGTTCAGGTAAATCGTAAAAGATACAGGAAATTGTGCTGAAAATAATTATTCTTGTTTTAGGATTATTCCAGAAGAAGTGCTACTAACCTGACAAAACTTTTTAGATTACACAAACCTTACCCCAACAGAACAAAAACTTCTACAGTTAATACGCTGGATTAGAACTAATGGAGACATAACCTTTTTCTATACATTATTTTCATGACCTTGCATTTGACACTTAAGCTAGCTCCTTAGTTTACAATGAAAAGCCCTGCCTTAGATGACTGCTGTATGGATATATTCATCACCAGGACACTCACACAGAATTTCTCTATGGGACACAGTTCTCAAACAGACAAAACCAAACCCACCATTTATACCACTGACCACAGCCATTACCAGGATACTCATCACTTCAGACCATCAGACACAAGAGTTGCAAGGCACCGCGTTTATGCTTCACAACCTTCTCACCTTTCCAAGGTAAGTCTGTCAGAGTTCAGTATTTTTTCTTCAGCAGTACGATGCAATACAGGAAATGTTATTGATGAACTGCTCCCAAAATTTGTGTTATCTATCAGAAAATCATACAGAGAATATATAAACTACTACTTCGTAAAATCATTTCATTACCTACAGATAATAAAAGCAGGATTTATTTCCTTATTAAAAGTAAAAAGTTACACAGAACAGGAAAGTGCTTTTTGCCTTCATTCAGTACTTGGTAAGTTTTCTTTCCGGTACCTTTTTTTCCTGCTACATCCCTTTACATCCTCTTTCCAAAGCACATCCATTTGTTCCATTTATGAGATGTTTCTCAACAATTTATTGTAAGCAGATTACTTCATAGATGGTTTTGTTTTGCTTAGAATTACCCAATGATGTTTTAAGCTAAGGTTGTATAATTTGTCATAAAGTGATACAATTGCAGTATCCGAACTTGAAGAAGATAGTACCTAACTTAAGATGAATTGAAAGCCACAGATCAAATACATGTTGATAGAACTAGAAACTAAAACACCAAAATACTGAAACAGTCCCAGTGAGCCACAAACAAATGCAAAGTCTTTTAAAAGTAAGTGTGTGCAATACTTGTAATCACTGGTATTATATTTCACTCCATTACCAAGGAACAGGCAGCCCTTTAAAACATATTGACTAAGCTATCTATCTTCACATATTTTGTTAAAACAGGGGGGAAGAAGGAGGAGGACTAAAAATGCCTGCCAGATAAATCAACAAATATGTTCTGTGAGCTCTGGCATTTTTGGAAAAATGATCCACTGAAAAGTATTCTGTCAAAAATTGAACACTGTGCATGAATACTATCACAAAAATAGAGCATCTCCTATGAGTTTGCTCCCCCCCCCCCTTCTTTTTCTTTTCTGTCAAATAAATCAAATGTGTTAATGGAAAAACATCAATTCTTCAATATACAAAGATAACTGCTTTACTATTATACAGAGCGAGTTCATTGGTGTCCAGAATATGCCATTAGAAAAGATATCTATTTAAGTAAATCTGTTTGTTGTTCAATTTAGAACCTTTTCAGTGCTACCTTCTAATTTTATCACTAGCTACTCTAACAAACAAATATAACAATCAACATTCTCTATGTATCCTTCAAAGCGAATAAAACTGAAAGGAAAAAAAATAATTGAGATCAAAAGTAATCAAATAACATTGCTGCAAAAGCCTTAAATGACTTATGTTGCAGGTTTTTAAGCCAATAAACCTAAAAATCAGTCTGAAACATGACAGGATGGCAAGTACAGCGACTTTTCTAATGTCATGTTCCTAAAAACATGTATCAAAGATCCCTATTCCTGCCCCCTCATTAAAAAAGGGTTCATAAAAACTGGTATTTAAGTGCATATATTATATATTGGAAAATATTTCTAGGGGCTTCCCAACAATGATCTATTA